ACCCATTTTTAGCAAAAAAATTAATTTAGATTCGTCAAAATCGTTGCTTTAAATTGCCTCAAAATTTCCCGAAAAACAATGAGATTTTAAATATAGGTTAAATTTTGTAGTTCGAATAATTTAAAAATTCCGTTTACGGCCGTCCAGAAATCGAAAAATTCTATAAAACATAATACAAAAATTATAAAAAACTAAATATAAAAATACATCTTCGGCTCAACTTATCTTGAAGTTCATGCTCACCTTCGATTACGCTTGAGCTTTAGCGCAGGCTCATATGAAATTTAAAATTCTTAAAAAGCGATTCTCCAAGTCTAAATCCAAAATCATACTAACAAAATCACGTAAAAACTTGTGCTCCTCTCGATGCCGACCATGCTCATCTACCCTCCTGCTCCTCCTCCTCCTCGTAAATGGGTATAGAAATGAGGGCGGGGGTTTGGTGAGGGGTAGAGGGTAATGAGAAGCCTTATCGGCCGTTTGCATGCCATCTCTCTCCTTCTTGGGGCCCTTCCTGTCTATCTATGGCCCACCCAACAGGGGGCCCAGTCGCTCTACACTTTATACAAATTACACCATTCAACCAACAAGCTCGGCTTCTCATCTTGACCCCCGGTCTAGAGGGTATGTTATAAAGCCGGCTGGAAAAGGAGGCAAGTGCGCGGCAAAAATAGGTTTATCGAAAGACTAGGCATAGGTTTAGGCTTAGGGTTGAGCGTGGCTTAGGCTTAGACTCGGGCTTATAAGCTTAGGCTTCAGGTTGTGCTTGAGCTCGTGCTTAAGTTGACTGCTTCTTGCATCGGTCTGAAAAACTTTAAAAAGCTAATCCACCCCTACGCCTGCCATAAGCTAATGTAAGACTACGCGTATACCTACACATAAGCTCACCCAAGCCAATTCAAGATAAGCTGAAGCTTCAGCCATATCTAAGCGTACACCTAAAGCATCAGATAGAGCCTTAAAAACACGTAAGAAACTTTCAATACCCTAAATTTAATAATTTAGATTTTTGTAAAGTAACCACCAAGAAAATGTGGAAAACTGTTTTAAAACCTAAAAACTTTTAAAACATTCAAGAACTCCTAAAAATTAATGCAAACGCCCATGCTACGCCATGTCCCATTTGGACCTCCCTTTTGTTTTCCAATTAGCCGTCCTTGGTGGGGGGCGATGGATCGACGAGACCGGGAAATAATATGCAAATCGCGCACTCCGCCCGTCGCCATTCCTCATCAATTACTTTATATGGGGGCCCACGACACGATCATGTCCGCTAAATGGCCGCGGGTGGAACAATATGGGTGCAGTTGAATAGGGGGACCATAGCGAAAACAGCTCCTTTAAAGTTGTACATTTTAATAGTTTTATGACGCTTTATCTAGTCTTTACATGTCAAAATACATAAAAACACTTTAGACACCTTAAAAAAACTGAAAATTCAAGCTTTACGATTTTTTTTGTGTACTTAACTTGTTTTATACTTTCCAATACCTAAAAATTTTACTAAAACATGCTATAAAGACTTTATAAGCCTTTAGAAAACTGACACAAACATTTCTTGAGGTTTTCATAGCACTTGCAATTATATATCGTGCTCTAAAATATTTAAACTCTACTGGAAATAAAGCTAAAATACTTCGTGTACCCCAGAAGCTGCATAAAAACAAAAACACACAAAGCTCTAAAAACTAATCCTTTGAATCTTTCCTTCATCCTACTTTCTAGCTCCCGTATTTATCTACTTTACGAGCAACGAAAGACACCTAATTCCCCGTGAGAAACTTAATAACACAACAAAAACTACAAGCTCTAAAAGCCAAACCACCAAGATCCTACCGAAAACATTTTTAATAACTTTTTTCGAGCGTCCACTTCCTTGACGACTTCTCCTCCTAATCTCCAAATCTCAACACCCTAATAAATGACCATCGATGATGCGCCAAAAGTGTGCGTGTGTTTTGTGTAAGGCCCCCCGCTATTGGGCCCCCTCGCCTATCAAAGTCATTTTTCATCGGGGCGCGATGGGCATCATCCTCCTCTCAATGCGAAGTGTCCTCCTCTGCCCTCACTGTGTCCAAATATCTATTGAGAAAGCAACTGTCGTATCAGCAGAGGGGGTCCCTCCAAACCGATCTCTCTACCCTCATAACTCTTCCATATCGCCCGACCACGAGGAGGAGGGGAAGTAGCGAGCAGGGCGGCTGACAACGCGGGATCGGCTTTTATATCTGACGGCGGCTTATTGGCAGCACTGTTAAAAATACAACCCGAATGACTAAAAGCCTATGGAAAAGGAAGAAACGTCTTAATGAGCTACAACGCTATATATTTTCACTTAACTTTTCATGTGTAAAAACCGCTGAAAACTATAAAAGCTCAAGAAACGCTAGATCTGAATCGTAGGCCAACGAAACTACTTTTTCTATGTTTTTGTATTGAAAATTTCCTGGGACTTCAAGTTAGGACAAATCCAAAAACCATAAACCGAAAGCGGAATTTAGCTATATTTCTCCTGGAAAAGCTACCGAAAATGTAATACAAAATGTCTAAAAACTTCGATTCTGATCGTCGGGAAAAAAAACGGCTTTATGTTCTATCGAAAATGCTATGTTTTGTCCTTTTTGAGACTTAAGAATGGTCAAAAACGCCCCAAACCCCCCTAAAAACCACGCTATGCACAAATCCAGGGTATAAAACATCCAAACAAAGCTTGTCGGCTTTTCGAAACTATGTATTTCTTGAATAACCGAGTTATTAATTCTTTCTACTTGCGAACGACGGCTGGTCAGTGTAAGTGAAAGAACAGTCCCTCTCCTCCTGCCACCTTCACCCTTTCAATCATCAGATCCTCAAAGGGCCCACCGAGATGCGCGGGTCCAAATGGGATGAGCGATGCCCTTACAACGGCCACTGAAACGGCTTATTGTCCCCCACAACCCGTGACAGCTGACCCATATGCATTGTCACAATATTAGGAACTGCAAAGGGAGGTGTCAGCGCGAGAAGGGACCTAGGGATATGCAAAAAAATGTGAAACTGGATTGTTATGTGGGGCGGGGGGGGGGGTGGAGAGGGATTTGGTGCGGGAAGTTATATCTAGCCTAAAACTACCTTACAAAAAATTTATCGTTTTATGGAGTCTTTGAAAATGCTTAAATCCTTTTCTAATATTAAAAAGTCCTAAAAGTATTTTTAGAAAATTGTATAAATTCAATTCTTGACCATTTTCAAATGGCATTTTCACACATTGTTGATCAAAATTTGAAATTTTCGAAAAATCTTCTATGGTTCTTCTGAACTTTCTACTTATTCTAAACGGCAGCGTATATCATTTTCCGATGCCCTACGGGACGATCGAGGTAAAGCTAGATCCCCCGCTACCAAACCCGCACCAAAGTTCCCCGAAATACCGACAGGCTATTGAATTTCGCTTCAACCAGTATCCGAAATCTTTAAAATCCTAAATTTCCTATCAATCATGACGCCACGAAAAGCTATATCTTCCCCCCACTCTTCAGTTTCAGAAGCCATTCCCGTTATAGCCAAAACTAATTTGCCTTCTTCACCGCGGGCGTTGCCGTCTGCTGCTTCAGTATTCGAGAGAAGCGCCCCCTCCTCGTCGTCCAGATTGCTACACATTCGCCGCCCATAATCTTGATGCGCGGCCCACGATATTGGCGAAGGGGGGCCCCCGGGACGGCCGTTTCCTGTCGTCTCCTTTAATTATTTATCGGTGTTGATGGGACGTCGTAAAGCGGCCGCGCGCTCGCCCAACGAGGGTGCTGTTAGCAAAAGATGGCCACAACCACATCGCGGGACATAAGGAAATATAAACCGAGGGGTTACGAGAAATTAAAGTATAACGTTGGCGTGGTTAAATAACCCTTAAACGTATTTCTACCGTTTTCTATATCTATAATCTTCAATTTACGACCTAAATCTATCTATTTTGACCCGATTTGGTGCATGAATCGTCAAAAAACCCACATAGAACGGTTTCAATACCTCGATATACTTTTGAGCTTACTAATCTAACTTTCCAATTCCATCCTGTCGCAGATTCTATTTTTTGGCGCACTGCTCCGATTTCAACGATCTTCAAAAACCTAAAAATGTCCTCAGGTCCAGTTTATTTTTATATTATTAAAGATCGCCTAGAAGCTAGGAAACCCCGGCTGACAAGTAGATGACAAATCCTTGTCGGCCGCTTTGCAAGTTTGGCCCCTCGAAATACAGCCGGGTCGTAAATATTGTAATAAGCGCTGCTGGGGGTTCTCGCCGGAGGTGGATGCCGGTGACCTCAAAAAGCAAAGCCCGCGCCGGGTCAGAAGCCTTATTTTAGGATTGGGTTTTGGGCCAAAGGTGGGGGTTTAATCAGAAAATATCAAAATCCCTGATACAAAAGGGTAGTTTAAAGATCGTTGAAAAAATAACTTTTTTTGCGAGAAAGCAAAAGTTCAAAAGATGATGACGTTGATTTCAGTCTGAAAACTACTCGCAACCGCTGCTTTGAAATCCCAAACGAACCGTGCTAGCCGGTACCCGGCTGTTCATTGCCCAAATATGCTCCACCTTCTCAGAGGGCATAGGAGGCGAGGGGAGGCGCTACTACGAGGGATTAGTTGTTGAGTGATGGTCCTACTTCTGCGCCCGGGCACCGATTTTATGCGTGAAAGTCATTTTTAAACGTTTTTGAACCTAAAATAGTGTTTGAACAGTTATCAGAAAGCTGATACCATTTCGGGTAACGCATTATGACTTCAAAAATCTGTATAACCGACACCCGTACAGATGTAACAACCCACGAAATATGCTGCACCAACATTTATTATCGAAAAAAGCCGAGTAAAAAGAGAGGCAAGTTCCTGAACACGGCGGATTGCTACAGAGCGAGATTCAAACACAATCGTGCAGGGCCAGGGATGAAATTAACCAAAAACATCTTCGAGATAAAAATTAATTGGTGAATGGTGCGAGTAATCTGCGGGGGTCGACGTCTAGCGAGCCAGTGGATCGCGGGCATAGTCCTCGACCGGGAATTCGCCCCACATCTCCGGGTCGTCCTGCGTGTCCGAGAGGTTCAACTCATCCCTAAAAAGAGGACGAAAGAGGTCAGATATATCTACTCATACTCTTTTGTCAGCTTCTCATTGCTCGCCGTCTTCGAAGCCTCGGTCGAGTTTTCCGAGACACTGGTCGAAGATGCCTAAAAGGTTTGCGAATTGCGCGTTTGATAACATTCATATAACCCAATTTTATCCATTTTCCGGGGGTACGGTGTGCAAACGAGGAAAACTGATATGGACAGAAACATATATATATCCTGCGCTTTCCATGAAACTCGAGTCTAAAATGCTTCGCAGGATCTAAAGCAAAATTGTCTCATGGCTGACCTCCCCAACCTGTCTGGATGGCGGTTGGTCTTTTGTGGCGGCATGCATCTCGCGCTCCACCTTTTCAGAGTCCTTGTGCTGCGCCGGTTCGCCTTTGACCGCCTCTTCCCAGTCGTATAGATCATCGTAACTGGAAAAACGGGAATGAGAAGCAATATAACCTCGATCATTACTTGATTTTCTCATCAATTCGAATCTGGTTGAAAATGCGATAAATGTAAAGGTAGTCCGGGCGGTCGTAATAGCCGAGGGTTCGCAGATGGGCCGTGACTTTTTTCAGCTAAAAAATGAGTATTAGTCGGATGGCTTCAAAAACCTTTGGAGAGGAGCCTTGGAAAAGATCGTCGTCGCTGGTATTCTCCTTGCAGATTTCCACATCTTTCTTTTCCCTAGGATAAAAGAAACATCTTCACTGATCTAAAATTCCGTACTGCATCCGAGCCCATGGAAGCGAGCATCGCATTTCGGCCATCAAGTAGATCATCGACCACAAATCATCAGCGCGGCCCTAAAAAAACTGCTATATTGTGGAAGTAACTGAGTTACCTGCTCGCCTTTCTTGTGCGTATTAATGGAGCAGTAGCGGGAGGTGCCGCTGAAAATGGATATTCATTGAATGGGGGTAAAACCGGAAGAGACAGTCGTCACGCTTTCGCCGATACATCCAGACACCGTCGGACTTCCACAAGAACCTAAACGGCATTCGAAACGTGAAAACGAGCCGACTCTCGAGCAAGGCCAAAATCGAGGATGTGCAGAATGTGGGCCTGGGGTCCGTCTTGATGCCCCATCGCGAGGTTGGCGGGTTTGACATCACGGTGAACGATACCGGCCTAGAATGAACAATATACCAAAGCAGAGCCACAGCAAAACGGAAAAAAGAAAACTTTCAGTCTAAAAACGAATGAAGCCCACTAACATCATGCATCATCTTCAAGGCATGAAGCAGCTGGATGCCCACGCGAATCTGGGTGGAGACCGTGTTGACCCGCGAGCCATGCAGCCTACAATGTTCTATTATGTAGTTACTACTTTCTACCTGAGCAGGTAATGGAGGCTGTCACCGAGCAGCGTCATGACGACGTACGAAAACTTGGTGCGCTTGCCCGCCCAACGGATTTGCGGAAATTGCAGCTTGCCCTCCAGCTTGCGTAGCACCTGCGCCTCTAGCTTCAGAACACTTCCTCCTTCGATATTGTTTGACTCGGTCTTCAAAGCAAACTGCAAAAGGAGTAGCGGAAAAGCAGACGGTTGAAATACCTTGTCACCAGTCTTCTTATCGCTGACTTTGTAAACGGTACCGCAGCCGCCTTCACCGAGCTTCTAAAAAATATTTTCTCATGAAAAACCCTAGCGCCGACCACTCCAACAATCCATCGCTTTCCGAAGATGTAACCCTTGCGCAATCTGACGTTCCCGGACGCTGAAAACATGCAAAGGCAACCCAAAACGCCAACTGCTGCATTCGACGTCGCCCATCCGCTTCTGTACGACCGGCCAGTAGACAAGTTGATAAAATGTCTGCGCGCTAACTAACGTTTCAGTCTAGGTCGCCGAAAGATGCAAATGTATGCGGAACATAATTCTTTATTGAAACCTAACATGACAGGGAAAAAGTACAAGATGGGAAAATGAACAATAAGGTGGTTCAATAAGTGTAAATAACTGTTTCACAATTGCGTCGTGGCAGTGGGGCGCACAACAAAAATAAGAAGCGAGTCAATTCGAGCTAGAAGTCTACATCACAATATGAAATTTGGAGGAAAAGTGCCAGTGCTTGAAAAGCTCAAACCTCGACGCCATGGGAGATGAATAGCTTGTTGCCCGCATCGGCTTCATCGGTATGTGAAGGGTTGCAGAGCCCGATCTCATCAATCTCGGTCGTCTCGATGACGCGAACAACATTTTTGGCGCCATCCTCATCTTCTTCGACAGATACGGGGAGTCTCTCATTGTCGAGAAGTTTTTGCTGGTCACCATCAGCCGGCTGGACAAGGAATATCCCGGAAGGAGAGCAGCATCGGCGCCTGAGTGCGTAGAGCACGGTGTAGACGAGGCACACCAGCAGGGCAATAACGACGACGCCCAGTATCTTGTAGTGATTGTCGCATCCGTATCCGGCAAAGCAGTCCGTCTCTGGGTCCAGCGTGGCCAAGCGGAAGTTTTCGTCGATTGGTGGCTGAACTGGTGGCTGGCCGTCAACTTTTTTGTAGAGCTTCTGGGCCGTTTCCATTTGGTAGATAGTGGGGCCATCTGAAAAATAGGATAAAATGGAATGGCATTCTGGTGAAGCGAACGAGACGAGAGAAGAAGACGTGAAAAGAAGCATAGAAACCGAAAGATGGAAAAAGTATTCTAAAAAGTTGACGAACGGTAAAAAGCGTCGTGATCGCGGGCTCCTTTCACAGGCGCGATTTAGCAGCCTTTGGATTTCCGGACTACTATCAATTAGCTATAGAGTAAGTAAGATAGTTTTTAATTATCAAAATTAATAGTTTGCTTACAAAAAAATACAAGGAATACCAGGAAAAAATCGAGAAACCGATAGTGGAGAATGAACGGATGCTCCGTAATTCCGTTCCATGCGTAGAGTGGAATGTACGTAGTGCTACGCACTCGACAAATTCCTGACTGTAAGTATCGTTGCTGATGCTGATACCGTAGTGTGTATTGTAATGTAATCTGTCCGAATTCATCGACATCAAAAGCTTTTAGGCTGCAAAACCATTTATTTGTTATAATAATTGTGAGATGGGGTGAGTAGCTTGGCTTCTTCTACGTGCTTCTGGGCCATGTTAATCTTCCGCCGTGTGGATCTGTAAAACGATCAAAGGAGCATGGATCTAATAGGGCCCGAACCATTTGCGGCAGCTCCTTCGGCATCACTTCCGACGCTTTCCTCGTAATCTTTGCCCCTTTCTGAGGATTGGCTCATTGTAAAAATTAAAACCTTCAGTCTACCAAATTCTCTCCGCCCTCCTCGTCCCTTCTGGATCGATGGCTATCCATGGTGTTGGCCGTCTTTAGCTGGCGCTTCTCCTGTTTCGGACTCTCCCGTGTCCCCTCACCAGTTTGGGTCGTCGTTTCGGTCTGTATTTGGTGGGGTGTATTTTGGTGATTCTTTCGGTAGCTTACAGTTGCTCGGTACATTTGCGCATGCGGAAGTACGTATTCTGGCTCGAGCCGATCGTGGGTGCCCATTTCACGCCATTCCTTCGCATGCGGGGCCACCATTCCCATCTTTTCCAGCTGAATCAACAGTTTTGGTAGGTAGATTAAATAGGATACGTCAGAAGCGTTGGCGGCCCGTTTGCGGATAGGGACACGCATTGGTAGGGCAGTGGTGACGGGATCCTGAACGCCGGGCCGGATCACTTTATGGCCTCGCTCCACCGTTGATGCGTTCCTCTTGACGTCCTGCAATATAGCACTTTTTAGAGCAGTTTTACATCATCCATACCTTGGTCGTGGCCTCATTAAACGAGCTTTGCTTGGGTTTAGCCAGCTCACACTGGGAAGTCGCGGGGGGACGCTTTGGCGTGTTTTTGGCCGCCTGTACGCCTTTCTGAAATGAAATGGGTAAAGTTGCGCTAATTCGTCCCGCTTATTTAATTTAGAAGGGCTCTGTAAGCAGCGTGTTTCACGAATCGTGCTAACTTAATCGTGGGCCCCCATAATTCTGTCTTAGCAAAAGGGGCGCTGCTGAGAGAGCCCCGTTAAATTGCTACACTTTATCATTTACTTTCGCTTGACGCTGTTGTAATATGCAATTTATAAAGCCCGACAAAACGTACCCCCTTGGAGTTTGCGCTGCTGTGGTTGGAGTGTCCTCGCGACGAGGTGGCCGATGTGGGAAGTTGTCGCGAGGACAGCGTCGTCCTCGTCGTGTCCTTTTCGGCTAAACGGAGAGTTTAGAATATAAAGTTTAGGTTATTGGTGCTGATCCATTGACGGTGAGGGCTAACTTATTAACATGTTCTCTTTTAGCAGCGTTTTGCCCCTTTTTTAAACGGCAAGTTTGTAAAAAATTTTGAAATTTCTGATCAGTAATGTCTAAAAATGGCTGTAAATCTTTTTATAACGTCTTCGTAAGGGCAACTACTAAAAAGAATATACAAATAGGGTTTTTTCTTACTAGGCAGAATAAAGGAAGTTTTAGTTGATTTCCAAACCCGAGTCGCCCTTCTTTTTCCTGGAACAATTGATGAGTAGAAGCGAGGCGCTGGAGACTGAGAACGTGGCGTAGAAAACGAAGTTGTACATCCTGACAAGGATGTACTAACTGAAAAGGAATACCCACTTTGAATTTTTCTTCAGTAAGACATGGAGAGTAAAAGAGTAAAAATCCGATCTCCTTTTTCTGGGCTTTTTTATAAGGGCAAAGGTATGGTAATTAGGCCTCATTCCGGGATATGCAATGTTATAAACGATTTTTTGCTTACTTGTTGTTCGTTCTTTTTTTTAGTTAGTTAGTTAGTTCTTGTTAGTTCTTGAGCTGATTCAGCGGTCTTTGGTAAATTTGTGGGTACTGGGTTATTATCGGGGGGGGGGGGTTCTTAATGTTACAAACATGGTTTTTTGATAGCTCTTCTTTACTAAAAATTCAAAAACCTTTTTCTTTTAGAATTTTTTGGAATTTTCACAGATTTTTGATCAAAAACCAAAAAATTGCTACGTTTTAACGATCTTTTGTAAGTTTCGTAGAGCTCAAAACGGCGAAAAAGCTATATAAATTGTGTATTTCATTATTAGTGATAGAATTCGCCTTCCCCCCCCCCGCTAACAGACCAGCACCCAATTTTATAAACCCCACGATCTCGTCGGTAGGAACTATTTTTGTGGCCGGGCGGATACAATTAGCACTTTCTCAGTACAGGGAATTGGCCCGTGCGGCCAAGTGCCGGGCCCTTAGCAACGAGACGGACCCTCCATGGGGCGCAGGCCCTGAAATTTAGGCTTCATGTGCTGACCGCTCTCCCGCAAACGGAAAGTCACTCCCTCTCGCCGACTACTTACCCATGGGTAGACTCGTGGAATGCGAGTTTTGCGAGCGACTCTACAGCGCCCATTCATTAAGTAGGTTTTAGCGCAAAACAGATTTTTAAGGGCGAGCTGGTCTCGAGAATTCGGTGCTGGTCTGTTAGCGGGGGCGCAGCCAAATTTTTATAGCTTTTTACACAATCTTTTAAGTTAATTTCTTACATTTTTGGTCAAAAATTGATCAAAATAGCAAAAAAATTTTGGCTTTTTGGATTTTAAAAAACTTTTGAAATATTTTTGTAACTTTCTAGTAATCAAAAATTAGCCTTGTCCCCCCCGCTAACAGTCCAGTACCGAGGATTCTATGTATAGAAACTTTAAGGTATCCACCAGCCACAGTGCGCTGACAATCCAAACAGCTCGCAGCGAATTGCCGATGTCAAAAAGCAAATGGCCGACCACGCGAAGAGGAAAAAGGTTTGAGCTTTTTAAAAAATTAAAAACCGGGCTAGAAACCACCAGTCCCCCCCGCTAACAGCCCAGAACCGCATGGGTTTTTTAGATGCGCCGCAGTCGCTCACAAGAAACTAGAAAACCGAAAGGAAACTCCACTTTTCGAGCTGATGCTCCCGCTCAAACGATGCAACACAATATTGGTAGCGTTTTTAAAGTTATACAGCCTTGAAATATTTTCAGAATCGATCAGGTACAGATCCGAAAACCGCAAAAATGTAGCCCTTTAGGCCCGCTTCGGTTGTGCTATGTTTGTGGTAACCCATTCGAGCAAACGAAATTAGCGGCGCACGAGGAAACCTGTCTAATGGGTGCCTTTTACGATTGTTTTGCTAAAAATGGCTCCCTTGCAGGTTGGACAAAGCGGACGCGTCAGCTTCCGGAATGGATGACGACACGGAGGCCACGTCCTCTAAACGTTCCGTCGGTATGTGAGAGTAATAAATGCTGATTTAGCATTAACGGGCGGGGGGGGGGCGGAACAAATTTTTTTCTGACATTTTACTTTCGAATTACTAGTACAAAACAACTCGAATTTTACTAAGACAGGAAGCGTTTTAATCACAATTTATTACGGTTCTTAAACGTAAAAACTTTACAAATTTTCATTAAAAATACAAATTAATAGCTGATTTTCGTCCAAATATGGGCGAGTTCGAGCAAAATTTTAGCTCAAAATTTCTTTGGCTTTTTGTTTTTTCCCACGTGTTATAGTTTTAAATTTTACTAAAATACGACTAAACAAACTTCTGGACCTCTGGGACCCCCCCGAAGCTCATATTAAATATATAGCTCTATAAAGTATGCAACCAAAGTATTTAGATCGATGGTTCTGTAGATATTGTCAGACAGAATGTGCACGCCATCGAACAGAGCGGACGAGCTTCAAGGGTTGGTGTTCTAGGAGAAAACGACTGATAACTAAGCTATTCCAGGTACGCTGCCGGAGGTGTGGCGAAGAGTTGCCACTGGATAGCTGTACGAAACACAACTGCACACGTAGAGAGCCATCCGTACAACTCTTTTTCTGAACTAGGCGTCGGTTCTTGTTCCTTAGCGGGGGAGGGGCTCACCTTGTTTGTCCAGGCCAAAAACATCAAACGACTTATAATGTTTTTGGTAGTTTTTCTCATTAACAGGCGTATAATGCTTTTAAAGTAGCGATATTTCACTATCGGTATCGACGATCACATAGGACACGCCCTCCCCCCGCTAAGGAACCAGCTCCACAACTGTCTAATGGTGTTACTCGGAATAAATTCAGATTGAGTTTTGAAAACAACCCAAACAATATCGGTTCTTTATTCAAAGGTTCAACACGTGATGTCGCTCGTCAAAATCGGCATTCTCCTTCCATCCCTGCATTGTGTAGCCGAGGCTCTCTGTCCCGCTAAAAGTGAAAGAAGTATTTACGAAGCAATACTCTTACCGTTCTATACTGGTCACTTTCCACTCGGTTGTGGTGCCGCCCTTCGCCCAAACCTAGAAGGAGATCAGCTCAAAGCGCTGTCATTTTTCCTACCTTCCAATACCAACGCTGCGATTTATCGAACAGGTCGGTGTCGACGTATTGCCGATAGGTGTAGCTGAGAATGAGCTTGTAATTATAAATGACGATACTGTGCAGGGTGTCCCAAAAAATACGTCGCTCTCGCCGGCCGGAGTCGTGTCCGTATCTTTCTCGAGCGTTTACTCATATTTTTACGAAACGGGCGGGTTTTCTTATGTTTTTCTGATCAAGGGTTTTTTACCAGAAATCACAATTTAAGGATTTTTAGGCCTTTCATGGCAGCTCAACGACAGCTTTTTGAAAGTCGATTGCAAAAACACAGCTTGGCTAACGCTTAAACCGGTCAAATTTAGTTTTTGACAAAAAGTGTCCTTTTCACATAAAAAATTCCGAAAATCGAGCACAAAATTCCGAGACTTCGGGAATTGGCGTGACGTGTTGGAAACCCTGTAGTTGATCCCCCCGTACCTAGCTCCTCAGCCATTAGCCCTATTAAGGTGCAGAGTAGCGTAAGATCTTTTCCATAGTCGAAAACCTCTGTAAAATTAATCGACTCCTGTCAAAAATTGCTAGTATTGCTCTCGCTAAAGATTTAAACTATCGTATAAAAAATTTCGGGCCCTTTCGACATAAGCAAACAACTTTTCAATAAGCGTTCGACCGTTGCGAAAACCCCAGAGGCCTTCAGATGCCCCATGGGTTAGCCTTCAGCTCTCCTTTAACTCACCAGATTCGCGCCAATTTGCCCAAGAGGCCTTATGGCTTAGCATTTAGCTCTCCGTTAATGAGAACTCACTTTTTATTATCAAAGATGATGCGCCATTCGTTAAACGACGGCTGTAACCCGGGTTCTTGCGGAGGGATCCTACAAATAAGTGTCTCTAAAAGATTGTGCAGAAAAGCACATACACCTCATTTGTCTTAGACAGCGAAATCGTAATTTGATAGTAGAAGTAGGACTTCAGATAATCAGGCAGTTGTCGCTCAAAGTTGAGGCCTTTGTCCACCGATCGAACCTGGCAACAACGCTGTTGGGTCATTTTTTTCGATTTACCGGTTGTTCGCGCAGATACTCGAAGCCGATGGTGAGCTTGCCGGAACTGCGCTGGTAGAGCAAACAAAGTGGCACCATGGCCACTGTATTCTCTCGAAATCCATCGTGGAAAGATACCGCCAAACTAAAATACGGTTATTCGAGAAACATAGTAGATTTGATATTTGATAGACTTGTGAAGTCATCTCGAGGCCGTTACCGATCTAATAATCTTAGGATAGTAGGATACACACTCGTCGGCATCCGCTGATGAAAAGTTGAAGATATATTCCCGGTTCTGCCAATCGCGCTCGACGTCGAACACCTCGTCCCGAAAATTGCCTAGGGAAAGAAGAACTCAGGCAAGAAGAAAAAGCTTACCGTTTACCGTAACCAGGAAGAGGAGAGCGACGAGAGACAGCATTTTCACGAATGCCTACTCCAAATACCGCGCTGAGGAGAAGCCACTGATCATGCATGCCGCATAGTTCTACTTGTTTTCTGTTGAATATTTCATGCGACGGGATCGGCTCCATGTACGAAAACTTTATTCGCCAAAAAATTCGGAACAAATCAACGGAATCTCTCGCTATGCTAACCTAGTAAATGTCGCAAACGAAAACAGACAAAGAAAATAAGGGGAGACAATACCGGTACTCGAGGGTGAGGGACTCTAAAATGGACTGGCTCATTTCTTTTCGGCAGGTAGTAGATGGCCATGGGTCTTCGGGCGTTCTTGGGCCATTTCTTCATCAATTTCCTCGAGGAACGTCTCCTGAACATTGGACATATACAATAAATTACCGTAATCCAGTACCTGTCGTACGGCGTACATTGTGTAAAAATAGATGCCAATTGCAGCCGCGGCAATGACGGTCATTCCGATGATATTTTTGTAGTTCTTTTGGAAGATTTCCTTTATCCTCTGCTCGTTGATCTAAGAATATAAAGTAAAAAAATAAATATAGTATAAAGTACCTTTTCGAATTGTTTCACATATCTTTGTTGAGCACGTGGCAAGTCTTCGAAATTGACAGTCTCCAGAAAGTTCGGATCTTTCGGCAAGAATGTCTAAATTTCAGGGGTTGGGCGAAAAATAGGTACTTACCCTGACAGCTTGTGATGTCTTGGGCCCCAGTTGAGGATCATTCGGTTGTATTGTTGAATTGAAGCGCTGAACCATGCGGTGAAAGTGCGCAGTGCTCGGTCGAATACGAAGCATCTAAATCTCGTTAATCGAAAGCATTCGAGGTCTAAGCATTCCAAATATCTCCTGCAGCAAACGGTTTCACAATTCCTGATTATTAAGGACTGGATTTATTATTCAAGAAAAACGACACGAACCTAAAAATCACAAGCGAAATGTTATGGTAAAGACCCCGTAGGCAAAAAGAGTAGCGGCTGAGATATTATAGACGATCACAGGACGGTTGACGTATAAGAAGAAAGGGACTAGAATATAATGGGATTTGAGAGAATGGGAGACGAGCAGAGATTATTCTTTTTTGGCCTTCATGGCGGCTTGGATGGCGGCGCTGCGTTCGGGAATCGGCGGATGAGAGTGGTTGCACATCGAATAGAGATGGTCATCCACTGGCAGTGAGAGATTGTCCTTGCCCAGCTACAAATATCGATTTTTTTTTGATAGATATACTTCGATGTTTACCTTGGTTAGAGCGTTGATCAGTTCCTTGCCATAGCCCAACTCAACAGCAAAGAGGTCAGCTTGGAATTCGAAACGGCGTGTCAGCACATTCATGGCCACTTCGAGCACCTAAATTCACAAATTTCGTAGGCAATTGAGGAAAAGGGCAAACCTGATTGTACATGCTAAGGACGTATTGCGTGACGAGCATCAAACCGATGAGAATCGGCTCGGTGTTGAAGCCAAAGGCGCGATAGAGGAGTTCCCATCTTAAATTCAGTAGATCATAATTTTTGACTGTAGACAAACTTGTAGAAGTAGGCGAATACGGCCAGCATGATGAGGAGATTGAGTTCAACGATGATCAAATTGGTGAGCGTGTGTCCATGATGCCAATGGCCAAGTTCATGTCCAAGCACAGCCACCACCTCTGCTGGCTGCATTCCACGATCCTCAGCCAAGATCTGTAAGATCGAAAATTATCCCAACTGTTATGACAAAAATTACGAATTCCAATCAGTTCCCCGACAATCAGTTCCCCGACACTCGGTCCCCGACAACGGTTCCCCGAAACGGTCCCCGAAAACAGTCCCCGGCAATCGGTCCCCGACCAGCCCCGAAATCAGTTCCCCGACAGTTAGGGAACGATACCACCATTATAATTACGTTAAAATAGCACCTTATAATTATCGGGGAACTGATTGTCGGGGAACTGATTGTCGGGGAACTGATTTGTCGGGGAACCGATTGTTCGGGGAACTTTGTCGGGGAACCGATTGTCGGGGAACCGAGTGTCGGGGAACCGATTGTCGGGGAACCGAGTGTCGGGGAACTGAGTGTCGGGGAACTGAACTGATACCAAAATTACCTTCTGACGCTCCTCCTCATCTACGCCACACTCCTTCACCACCTTCTCCAGCTCCTCTCCGCTCAGCAATGTGTCGTAGAGGACAATGCGCTTATTTTTCCAGAAGCCGTACATGTAGGCGTTGCTATGCGAAGAGCGTTTCGAGCCTAAAAACTTTTACTAAAATTTTTTTAATTGTACCATGAACGACGTAGAGCTTAGTGAGCGGATATTTGAGCGACGCGGCCAGCTTCTCGATAGCTACCTTCAAGTTGCCATCAGGTAGCGGTATGTACTAAAAGCATTGCATGATCTAAACGTTGAAAACTCACCTTATCAAAGAGCGGTGCGATAAACTCTGGGTATATTGTCATCAGGGCGAACATGACGATGGACATGAATAGCCAAACGTAGACGAAAAAGTACGGTCCTCCGTTGGCCACAATCCATTCTACCGCCAAAATAAGTGGCGTAGCGAGTGCTGAAAACTTCATGTAAATAATAATAAAATATCCCACCGTATGACAAAGCAAGCTTCTTCAGTTGGTCAGTGAAATAGAAACCAAGCGTTTGCTTATTGAACCCGTGCTTTTGTTCAATGACGAAAGTGTCGTATAAGTCGAATGGCAAGGTGATAATCTAAGACGGCTTAGTTTGTTAGAAACCCATACCGTCTCGAACAAGTGGAATAAGATGAAGAATACAATTGATGACATTGGGAATCGGGCACTGAAGTTCCAGAGGAAAGGTAGAAGTCCATAGACCAGGACAAGCTAAAAAAATTAATTGGCTTCTATGAAAAATGATAGCTCACCGTCGACTCGACACGAGAGAAGAATCCCATCACAAAGTTAAACCGATGCTTTTCTAGCTTATAAGCTCTAGCCTTGTCGTATGCATCTTCGGTTATGATGTCCTAAAGAAAATAAGCCGGAAAAATCGTGCCATACCTTGACAGCAACCGGACGTTTTTCGTTCCTCAGATGGACCTGGTACTGACGCCAGTTCAATAAAGTATCCCATCCATACAGCACCCAATTCAGGCCTAATAACCCAGTGAATAGAGCGCTCGGAGAGCTCATCCCTAGAAAACCAAACTTTTAAACAGATTACTTCAAAAAAATAAGGCGCAGTGAACGTAAAAAAGGCGATCAGGAAGCGAGCCCCACAATTCCGAGACAAACAGTTTTCCAGATACTGTTTATTCACTGTTCACGATACAAATAAAGTGATAAGGGGAGGAGTACCAGAGAAAATATCTTATCTTCTCTTCATCGAGGAGGGAACAATCAAACAACAAGGAGTGCGGGCAGGAAAAAACATTTCATCAACGATGGCGAGGCGGTAGAATTAAAGCGAAGGATCGTAAAAGCTTTTTCTATGGCTGTATGTGTAGGAAGGGCTCTGAAGTATGTAGGAAGTGCCGTAGAAAGTCAGCAATGTCCTAAAAGATATTGGCGCCCGCAAGAAATAAAATACCAAATTAGGCAGCAACCAATTCTTCGGGGAGAGGCGACTTGGGGTGCTTGTTCTCGAAGTGCTGCTTGTACGTTTTCGGGTCGGGCATCTGCGCCAGGCAAACGGTGCACTTGTGATGGAGGGCCTGAATACGAATTTGATGCCCTAAAAAGCAACGGTACCTGTTGGGCGGCCGCCTTGCCATCGTGGTTGGCTTGCTTCTTGGCTTGTTCGTTCTTCTTGGCAGCCTTTTGCTGGGATTGGATCTTCTGTTGACCGCGCGCCATTTCGCAACCTGGAAAAATAAATATACGAAACAAAAATGTAACAATAACATCAGGGAAAAGGTAATGAGAAGGTTCCTATTGGACGCCGCTGTAAACTTAAACAGCCAATTTATGGTCGATTGGCTTATGAAAAACGCGAAGAAGTTTTTTAAAAATGTATAAATCGAAAACGAAACGATGGCAAACGGAATACCATAAAGAGCTGCATCACAAAAAGAAACCCGAATCCTACGTCGAAATTCTAGAAGCAAATTCTAAGAAACAGCCCAGTTAGAGATTTCGTTTATCAAAAAAACCGGAGACACGAGTTTATATTTTCACTAGTGAAACAAATTCCGAGGCTGACCAAATAACGATAAAAAGTTGGAACACTAAAAAGTGCCCCGCAACATTTATTCAGTAGTTCGAGAAACTTCGAAGCGGAATCGAAACCTTGCTCGAAAAAGAAAAACTTATTTTGAATCGAATTTCACGAATCGATCGGATAAGCGACCAGTTACACCACACAACCAATGACAGTCCAAAAATTATTTATTCCATGACTGGCACAAAAACGATTGACCTCGCACTTGTAGCGTGAGCATAATGGTTGTTATTATTATTATTATTTTTGTTGTTATTAAAAGGGCGGGGAATTGGTGAGCAATGGTCGAGATTCGGGGGAACTTGTAGCTCTAGGAGTAGACAAGTGAGTGACAGATCACAATTCTCAACACCGGAACGGGCATAATGCTAAAAAACGTTAGTATGCAGTAGATACATGATGCAGGATGGCCGTGTCGGCCAAAAAGTTGATGGCTGGAATGCCAGCAGGTTTTCCATGTTACCCCTAGGAGAAGAGGTGTCGCTCGATTGTGCCTTGGGGGTCCGTCTAAAAGAAATGGATATAAATACTGTATAGTAATAAAATAAAGTTGATTTTAGCGTGTTTTTTTTAGTTTGCCACAATTACAAACTTCTTAGAAAATATAAGTATGTATAAAAATATGTTTTTAAACTGCTTTGGTCATTATTCAAATCACGATGTCAATTGCCATCAGATTGTCATCAGCAATAGTGGATATCTTACATGAATATTCACAAACGGGTCCTGAAGCATTCTGGTGGCCGACGGGCGGGCCCTGTCATCGAATTCGAGGCACAAATCGAGGAAATGCCTAATTACAGATTAGATGTCGCCAAAATCGAGCTAACCGTAGTAGCGGCAGGCAATTTGCCGGATAGGCCGGGCGCTTCTTGTTTCCAAGGTTGAGAGCAATTTGGTACATATCACATTTATCCCAGGGACGAGCGCCGGTTACCTGAACAAATTCTTGGCTGCCGGGCCGGGGTGGATTCCAATAAATCCAACGATTGTTTGGTTTTATCAAGGTTTATTTAACATATAGCTGAAATTTTGTTAACAGGGCTATTAAAACGAATTTTTAACGGTTTTAGACAAGACTTTATGATTGGTTATCCTGTTACTAGACATTGCTGGACTTATTCAGGTTTTTCGAACAAAATTTAGAATTTCAAGCATCTTTTAAACTAACCGAAGTAGTTTTGACACTTCAAAGGGAAGGCTTTCCCCGACCCGTCTTCCTACTCCCCCAATCCCAAAGGCCAAAAAAAGAAAACCCCCCCCTCTTTTAGAGACCCTCCTTCCGGTCTATGCTAATTTTTCCTAACAAAGAGGTTTTTACAAAAACCTAAATTTAATAGCGAAAATGGCCAATTTTTAAAAAGCTGATATGTGTGCAGTCATCCAGACCATTACCACCTAATGACACGAACGTAGCCTCTCCTCTAAAAAGAACCACAGACACACAGACACTATTTTTTTTAAATAAAGCTAAATCGTGTCAAAAAGGCTACGAGAATATTTACTAACACGCTACTAGGTATATCCTGCTTTATAAGCAAAAATCAAGTCCCCCCGGTAAAAGTAAAGAGCTAGAAATTAGTAGATCAGAATCTATCCAACAAAAATGGTCTCGGTGGGTGCTATTCTTCTGGCGTGGCCCCGTAGAGACCCGATGCCCCTTCCAAAGGCCACGCCACCAGCTCACATCTCGGCCGGTTTCAGGACCCCTGCACGATTCGTCATCGACCGGTCACGGCGGGGGGTCGAACCCGGGCCTTGTGGGCGCCAGGTGGACCCCCCTAGCCATTAGGCCATACCCGCAGGTGGGTGAGGGGTATGGCGGGGGGTGAACTGACCATTTCTAGCACAACACAGCCCACACTCCAGATGTCCACAGCTCGGCCGTATCCACGATAGGTGTTCGTGCCCGTGTCCTCGTCGTGGTTCATCACCTGACCGCCGGTGAACGTCTCCGGGGCCTGGAAAAATCGATGACATTTTTGCTTCACTCAAAAACGATACAAAGCTGACAATCCCACCATGTAGCTAGGCGTTCCGGTCATCTCCTTGAATTCACCGGCGAATGTGGCGTTCGCACTCAAGCGGATAGAGCTCCCGAAGTCGCCAAGCTAAATAAAAGCTTCTGACCTGTTTAGAAAACTGGAAATGTTAACATTTTGACATTTTTAAATGATTTTTGACCAAAAACATCAATGATTTCCGAAAATTCTAATTTTTTAACGAGTGGCTACAACAAGCGGAGCCGGCCATAATTCCAACCTTGAGAACGCACGACAAATCCAGGAAAATGTTTGCCGGCTTGATGTCGCGATGGATGACGAGCTTTTCGTGGATGTATTGAACGGCTTGAAGTAGATGGTTTGTGTATCTAAAGCGCGAATCGTGAAATTTTGGATGATGAAAATACCGACCTTCTAACTAGGGTCATGTCCATTCCTTCGCGACAGATTTTCTCTAGGGTTCCCTCGGCGCAGTATTCCATCAGTAGCAATACTTCATCGCCCTGCACCTCCATGCCGTAGTAGCGGACGAGGTTTTGATGGGAGAGGTTGCGCAGGATGTCGACTTCGCCTTTTAGGATCTAGAAAAGTGATATGAGATATTTTCAAAGGATCTAATGATCTCTATCCCTCTTTCTTTCTCTCTCTCTCTCTCTCTCTCTCTCTCTCACCTTTAGCCTCTCCGCCCCACGAGCCCGTATCTTCTTCACAGCTATCACGCAGCACTTGTCCATATTCAACGCCTTGTACACATCCCCGAAATTGCCTTCACCTAAAAAGGAAACTTATTTTGTTCCATCTCCACTCGACCCTACCAATCTTTTCCAGCAGCTGGAATTGAAAAGGTGCCTTCTGGATCTCATAAACATTGGACACCGCATTCTTTCCTTGATGGTAGTTCAGCACCCGGCCCAGCTGCAGGATATTCTAAAATCACGAACTTAAATAATTCAGTCGTCATAGACTTACCTTTTCGATTCGTCGTTGCTCGATGTCTAGGTCGGTCTTGTCAGCCGCATCTCGCAGCATTTCGGCCCTGTCCTTTGGCGCTTGTTGTGTGGCGCGTGGCGAAACCTTAAAATAGCGGTGCTTTTGTATTATCGGGGGCGAGTCCTATAAGGCCAGATCAGCCTAATCCTGCACTAGCAATTATTGTAAGTTTCTTACTGAAATTTAGCTATACAAGCGGTAAAATGATTTAAAAAGCTATCCAAAAATTAGAATTTTGACCAAAATACATCATTTTGGCTGAAAATTCTATAGGTATGGAGTTCTTTGAAATGCTATTCATCTAGGGACAATAAAAAGTGTAGAAACACTTTCGCTATCTTAATTAGAAGGATTCAATGCTACTGAATAAAGTCCCATCCCAGATAATGAAAAAGCATGCATAAGACTAATTACATCAACCAGTACCAAACTTACATATCCACTATCGGTGATGGTGTCGCGACGGGCGGCCGGCGTTTGGCACTCGACCTGCTGCGATGAGTTCATGCAGAATTCGAGGATCGAGCGCAGTCGGACAAAGATATCATCGTTCATATGCTGTGTCCATTGGGGTTCGCTGATGTGTTGCATGAAGTTGAAGGCCACTTTCGCCCACAGCGGCACATTCGACGAGTAGTGCGTCTCCAGGCTTGGCACCAGGTTTTTCCAACTGAAAAGTGATAGTGGTCTGCAAATCAAAGATTGCTAGAGGAGATAAAAGCTATTGTTTATTACGAAAGGGTGTCATTATAGTACTTTTTGGCTGTTTCCTTTTTTACAATTTCGTTACAATTACATCTATATATTTTTTAATAAGAGAAACAGTATTAGATTCTCCATAACAAAGACTGCCTATTTTTAAACCCACTTTTCCAAGAGGACCACACATCGTTTCGCAAAACTGCTGCGCAATTCGTGCACTTCCCAGACGATCCGCCCAACTTCTCGATAGTACTAAAGCAGAAACTTAGTAAAATTAATAATAACCTTCAATTATAATTATTTTTACTATGAATTTAGTTATTAAGTAAATGTTGACTTGTGTAAATAGAGTTGAGTAAACATCCCAACTAAAAAAACCTACGTGGAAAGCGAAGTTGAACATGGTGAGCAGCGTGGAATGGGCTGCGCGCTTATTGTCAGCATCGTAGAACGCCTTGTGCGTGGTCACTTCATAAAGCTTACTGACGATGTCTTGTGAGAACGAGTCGAGTTGATTCTGCAAAAAAAACGAGGGGTTTTTTGAGGTTGGCGCCGGTTTTGGGCGAGAATCAGGCCACCAACCGCAAAATCGATCATCTGCTGGTGAATGTGGGAGTGGGGGGCCGAGTTCTGGCTGCAATGCCGGTAGATTGTGGGGCTTCTTCTGTGTAGAGCATCCAGCATCGTTCCGATCACAACCACACGGTCTGTCTACAGGCATGAAAAGTACTGAAAAGTTGGGATGATACAAACCCTGAATAACTTCAAATTGTCTGCAATCTTTTGGCAGACAGTCAGAGTCGCGCGTTCAGCCTGCCATTCGGCGGTGAAATTTTCGTAGGGGATTGGGAGAACGATCTGAATGGGATTTTTTGGGTACTGTAAAACTAGGTACTGTAAACCGGAAACGGGCGAACCTAGACATTTTTTTCTAGTGTATTTTTATCGAGTTTTTAGAAGTTTCTGATCACTAACAGCTCATTAAAAAGATAGCAAAATCAGAAAACAGGAAATTTGATCATTTTGATGGGGTTGCTATTCTTAGAAACGGCGTAAAAACTACACAAATAATTTTTTTCATTATTAGGGCCCACAATGATGTACAGTAGACTATACTTAGGTCTACGCCTAAGCCGAAGCTGCATAACTAACCAAATGGTTCGAGTCCGGGACGCCTCCGTGGTAGACCGTGGTCAAAAGGTGGAGAAGGGTTCCATGGTCCGTCGGCTTGCACAACAGGCTGATTGGCCAAGCATTTTCAGAGTGGTCCGGCGCAAGAATATTTAGCTAAAACATCAATTATTCAGGTTTTTGGAAAAAACGCACCAAAACATGGTCCTGCAACGATTTGGCGACCGCCCGATTATCTTGAGTGACGACAAAACACGAGGCTGTCATCAGGTTGTTTGTCATCGTTCTCAAAATCGAAGATTGCTGTTTTTTACCGTTTAACCGACTTGATGACTTGAAACGTTCGAGCAGCTCGTTCTTGTGCTTCTCGCACAAGCGTGTTGAGTTGACGCCGCCGGCGTATTTCCCTGTAAAAGCAATAGTTGTCATTTTTACGGTTTTAGACCACTAAATCTAATAAACCTTGAACGTGAAGATTCTTTTTCTACTGACATACTTTTCATTTCCGGCGCTTTCCCCATCCGAAATGCTCTCGACCGATCCGTCGTCGATGCCCTGGGTGATGCGGTAGACGCCAGCCTCCCAAAACTTCACCACAACACGCTTCATCGTCGTGCACATTATTTCGCTAAAATAACACGTAAATAACGTTAAAAATATTACCAAAACGAATCGGTGATATTTTTGATTCCACCATCGATGAATGGAGCGCATGACCAGGCGGATGACCACTGAGAATTTCGGTTAAATTTATACTTCTCTACATCCAAAAACTTCTGTTTCTAAAACTCTCCCCTTGCCATTCTCCATTTTTTTTATCTAATTATAGTTCCTTGTAATTACATCCCCCCGGAAATAAGCCAGTCAAATTAAATAAAATACCTGTCGTTCAAGCAGTGTAAACAGGCAATGACTTGGCTGCGCAAAAGCAGCCGCTAGCTTCGATACATAGCACCGGTAATTCTAAACAAAATGTTGCTATTATTTTTATCCGCTCTTAACCCCACCTGAAACACGGAGACCAATAGCTTATCGTATTCCGGGTCAAGCACCTCGGTAACGTTTTTACAGGTATATGCAATTGTGTCGAGATAGTGCCTAAAGCAAACGAAACTTCAGTTTAGCTTAAAAAAATCACCTCTTCAGACGGACAGCCTCTTCGATGCAACCACGCGCCTCTTCGACAAACGTTTCTGAAAATAGCAATGCTTATTTTTCCGCTCAGTAAATCTTACTTAAGGAGGGCGGATCTATCTCAGATCCATCTGGCATCGAGACGACCGATCTGGCACGCAGCCATTCGAGCACCATCTGAATTCGCACGGCTAACAGGAAGATGAAGAGGGGTAATATCGACGGCAAGTTCATCTTCGAGGCGTGATAACCCCAAAGGCAACCGCGGACGTGTTCTCCGTATCGTTCCTTCTAGAGTTTTTTTTAATATTTTTAGAAATGCGCTTGCCATTTCCTTGGTCATCGTGATCAACGTCCTCTGAGTACCAGCGGCTTGCGCGTAGGATGAGGCGGGTTGTTGCAGGAGAACTGTGGCGCGAAGGAGCAGTTCTTCGCACATTGTCGACACCTAAAAATTGATTGTGTTGTATTATATGTGTGTGTTATGTATTTTCTTACCTTCGTAAGAACACGCTTCATGCCCTTGACTTTCAACATTTCAGCAACAAACGAGCTGACGATCGCGGAAATGCTGTCGATGTTTGAGGGAGCGGTGCCGTGGCGCGGTCTCGGCCAGCCTTCTTTGCCTTGGGCATTCTGAAAAATTATCTTTATTCAGTTTCATCGCGGCATACAAAAGTTTTCAATAATGCCTAGAGGAGTAACTGTTAAATTCTAGTATTTTCCATGGCCATTAACTTCTCGCTTTCATACTGACCTGACTGACACAAAGCATCTGACCCAGCTGCTCCACTTTATCGCACAACTGCTCGGTGGTGTTCATCCACGCATTCAACACATCCAATCGTCCCTCAACTTCGACAAGATCGGCCAGTATTCCCCTCTGTTCGCACTGCTTCTTCATTGCTGCCCGATGCGGGAACAACGACTCGAACCGCGCGAATTTCTCCATCAACTCGCCAATCTCCATTTGCTTCTTGATGTAGACTTGCAGGTACTCTTGAGTTAGCACAGTTTCTTCTAAAATAATTTTTGAATTAGGAGTTTGTTAAAATACCGCTGAATTCGTGTTCGAGGCGGAAGTTGAGAATTTCTTGGATGACTTCGATTCGTTGGGTGCGCAGCATACAAATTTGCGGATCGTAGATCACGGCGGCGTCAAAGCGGCCGCGAACATCTCTGGAGTTTATCGTTTTTATAAAGTCGTTTCAAAACAAAATTTCAAAGAACTTTATCTTTTTACTCGACTTACTTTCCGGCAAAATAAGCCTTCAACGCAAGCCACAAATAGTCTCCAAGCTTGTGCCGCTCCTCCTTCCCGTCCTTGACAAAGGAAAACACCTATAAGCACAGTCAACCAGCCTCAAAAATTCAACGCACGTGCTCGTTCTTGACTTTTGCCTTTGGCTGGTTGACAACCAGATTCGACGATCTGCTATCCCGCTCCAAGAAAGCGAAAAATTCCTAAAAATAGGCTGATAAAATTCTTGTGCATAAAATAAAAATAAATAAAATAAATAGAATATAAAACTACATACGTTGTGCAGGCGGCGTCGTTCAATTTCTCCAATGCTGTGCGGACTGCCAACTTCTTCCCATTCGAGGCTGACGTTGCTCAGCTGAAAAAAAACATCTCTAGATCTACAAAAATCACTTACCCGTCTCGCTGACGTCGTCGGGGAAATGTTTTCTTGGTTATCTTCAAGTGGGATACAATTGAATAGGCGTCCGCTGTTTCGGGAGCTCTAAATAACGTTAGAATTAAAAAATTCCTTTCACTGACCAGCCGCCCTTCCTGCTCGGAGCTTTGTCGATTGATGGTGTGGCTGCTAGATGTTGGGGGCTAAAAGAAAAAGTATTTAAAAAAATTTACAGCGAATTACCAAGTAGCTGTAATCACGGTCATCCTCATCATCGTAGTTTTGTCGAGATTTACGGCGCTGCTCAGCTGAATTGATTATTTACAAATTTTAGCTTGTTGTCAATTGATAGTCAGTTAAAAACCATACCTTTCAAGGCAATCGACAAATTCCGATTAGCACTTGCGCCTAGGGACATCCGGCCCCGATAAGCCTTCCTAGACTCGGCTTTTGAGCGTTTTCTGCAAGAGAATTATTTGATTAAACATTTCTTCTTTTCCCTCACCGTTTCTGCCCTTCCGGCAACGAGACCAAGGAGGAGGAACGCTGGAGCTGATGCTCGTCCGAGCTCACATCACCAGAATCGGGCATCTTGACGTGATCGAGGGTGCTGACAGTCGGGATACTGGATCACATGCCTAAAGGGGAGGGGTATACTTGTTTATCGGGGCACGGAAAGATGCATCTGCCAAATATGACCGGAGGGCAAAACAGGGTTCATAAATGGACGGTCAGGTAAAGTACAAGGGGATGAGGAAGAGAACAAGAAGAAGGAGAAAAGCAGGGTGGGAATCGGGAGGGATGACTACACGCCCCTCCTATCAACGCTAGACTGAAGGGCCCACTTGCAATGTATTGAATTTGTTTACTCAATAGAAAGAAAAGGAATAATTTGTTCACTCGAACAGAATTCGAAAGGGCCGTTCGCCAGGGAGCTCAACAAAAAAAACACAATTTTTTCCGGTGTTTGCGATCAAAAAAGGGAAGCTGTTCAATTTGTTTACTCATAGAAAAGGGCATAATGGTTTAAGTGCGTTTACCCCCCCCAGCCGACCCCCACCTACCGTATCTCGGCTCCCTGTTCATCTACAGGTGTGTAAAGTCTATGAAAATACTCGCCAGAGCAAGACGAACATTTTGGTATACTTTTACACACCTGTAGATGAACAGGGAGCCGAGATATACAAGTTGGATGCCGGCTGGGGGGAGGGGTAAACTGCACTCTAACCCCAACCTTGACCGTGCTGATCATTACCCCCTAAAGTCCGCTTGAAAATAACTTTGGCCTTCACACCGAAAAAGTTTTACTGATGCCTTATGAGCAGAAAAATAATTAACCCTTACTCTGTTTGTCCTAAAGCACCACACCAGACACCCCCAATTTGACGAGTAGGCGTGCACTTCAAATCAGCCAAACAATATTTATTATACGCTATACGAGATCAGAAAAATGAGATCCAACAACAAATATTTCACGGGGTTTGAATGCTAGAGAACTGGGGAGTGCTTTACTTCAGGGGTTGGTTCTTGGACGACGACCGCCCGGGACTGCTGCTGCGGCTTCTTCCGTTTTTTGGTTTCGGAGTTTCGTTTTTCCTGAAAAGGAGCTCCTTCAGCCTTGCTCAATCAGACTTACGGGACGCAGTTTCGTTGTTAGCCCTCCATTCGATGTCCAATATCCCGGTGCGTGGAAGCCACATATATGTTGCCCAGAGAAGCCAGCGAGTCGCGTTGAAATCTGAAAATTCGTTTAGCCCTTTTTCTTTATAGGCGAATTCCATTTCTTATTTGAGCTTGAGCTCATTCTCACCTGATTATAATCCCACCCGAGCGATCCATCCTGAAATATCGTTGCAACAAGGCGTTCAAAGTGTTCCGTGTCCTCAATCGGAGGCACTTCTAGCGCGAGTCCGGTCTTGAGTTGGCAGATCTCGCATTTGAAATGTAGCTAAACAACTAGTTTCTCGAGTATGACTTATGGGGTACCTTTCGTTTTCTCGTCGAATTCCCAATGAATTCCACCTTACATTTGCGAAGCCCGGCCGCCTGGAAGTTTAGTATTTTAGAGAAAAGGGAGATACCGTCTCGGCCGCTGTTTTTACATTGTTGATAGTAACCACCTCGGCTACGACTTCGATTGCGGGTTGATCGATATCCTGATAGTCGATTAGTTGAGCTGTCGGTCATCGAAAATGGCTCACCTCGGGGAGATTTTCGGCATTTTCTGGCTGATGTGCATCTTCGGGGGCCTGGTCGTAGCCTTCATCCTCATGGTAAACGGGTTGATGGGCTGTTTCGGAAGTGATGTTAAGGAATTCGGCTTCCGCACAGTCATTGGCAGGTTCTGCCACCGGAGGTAGGGTGCCAGGTGCGGCTGGAAATGTTTATTCTTTTTCTTAATTGTGGCAACGCCATTTTCTTTTATTTTTACGCAAGATACTTTGCAACCATGGCTGAAGTTTAATGGCATATCCACTGCCCCTGTCACCTACCTATATAGAAGATGCGTGTGCCATTGGGCTGTGAAGGGGCGGACGTGTAGTAGACGGTGCTTGTGGAAGGGGCGTGGCTGACTGAAACACGCCCTCTTCGTGCGGGTTTGGAACAGCTGGGGCAACGCCCGGCCATTGCTCCGTAGCACCTTACATTTTGGCTGATAGGGCTTAGGCTTATCAGTGTCAGCTAGTATAATCAAACTCAACGCACCCTCCATAAAGCAGCTGCCGTCTTTCAACTCGTGATAATTGTCGCTTACATATGCCATTCGAAGGTAGCTGAAAAACAAGACGTGCTTTTTTGAGGAACGCGAGGAAATGGCCCTAAGGTCGTTAGCACTTTCGAGAACAAAAACTTGACAAAAATATGTTTCTCTAGTTTCGAGACTTGTCGTTCGAATTTTGTCGATTTCTACCAATTTTATTTAAATCAAGCCTTCCAAAACGCGCGAGCTATCCAGCAATTTTTCTTGTAAGGCGTTTTTCGTTGAAAATTTGCAATTTTTTGCCGGTGCCAAGAAAAATTTTAAAACATGCAAACTGTTGGGGGGTGTGAGTTTTGGGCGGTAAGCGGCGGGGCGTTGAGGAGGGACGGGGGGAAGGGGCCGCCGGGGCCGCCCAATCGATTCCTCCGGCATATCCTCACCGACAACGGCCGAAATTGCTCGCCCCCGTGTCCAGCTGAGACTTTCTCGTCTAAGGGGGTAGATCTCAGGGTCCAGCTTCAAAAACTGTGCCAGCTGTCAGCGCGTGACAACGCAAAGCGGATCAAGCACAAAAAAAATCCCGAAATTCATATTTATTAACCGTTATAAGCATCCACGGGGGTTGACCACCCGAATCATATCGAGACGAAATATAATCCTATTCGGCGCCGTAGAGGTCGATGTTAAAGTCGAGGTCCATGCGGGTGTTCTTGTCGTCCGCCTCCTTTTTCGCAATCAGCATCTAAAGAATGTGATTTTGCTTATAAAAAGTGCTTGGTCAAACCTCAAACTCCCAGACGGCATCCCTGCTCGGCGGGATATCTCCGCAATCAAACTCAAACGGGATCAGCCGGCCAGCACGGGTCGAGCGCAGCGCCTCGCAAACTGAATGATTGTGGGTGGCGAGATTAAAATTTTATTGTACCGTTGGTATCTCCCATGAGGCTGTTGGGCAAGGTGAGCGTGTGGTCCGAGCAGGCGCTGTCCAAGGCGTAGGAGGTGACTAAGGAAAATTGTGGGTAGAAGGTATGGGCTTACTGCCAGAACTGTTGGTGGCACGAGCGCTCTGCTCGCTGGCCGAGTCGGAAGCCGAAGTGCCACCGCACAAGCGCTCGTCCTCAAAGAAGCCGCCTTCCATAATATCCGAGAACCCTGCAATGTGTCTTACAACGAGACGATTTTTGCTCTAAAGAAGTTTTAGAAATGTTTTTTTGTCTTAGTTCAATAGGGTTTGAAATTCTGAACAAGGCCTATCTTTCAAAAACTACTGAGCGATAACGGTATTTGACAAAAATATTCTCAAACTTGAGGTTTTGTTAAGCAGGGGTAACATGAGCAAAATAGCGAATTCAGAATTCTCGAAATTTCGAAGACTTTTATCCAGCAGTTTTTGAAGAACGGATTTGGTTTAGAAATGGAAGCTCTATCGAATTCAGCACCATATCATATAGTAAAACCTTACTATCCGGTAAAAACAACTCATTTTTTTAGAAAATCTTGCTCCAACAATACCGGTAAGGGTCGGCGAATACGGGAGCGGGCAGTCCCTGAACGGCGCCGGCGGGCTGGGCATCAACATGTCGGAGAGGGTGTTGCAAAGCTGGGTGGTCTCCCTAGAAAAAAATTAAAAAACACAAAAAAAACCTTACGTTTCGAACGTCTCGAAGTGGTTGCGGATGCGGTCGAGGAAGATGGCAAGCGACTCCTTGGGGACGCCGCTGCGCGCGGCCGTCATCATCACAATCTGCAGCTCCTTCAGCGACACCTCGTCGATGGGCAACTCGACGAGCAGGCTGATCATCAACTAACAATTGGTCCGGGTGAGGGGATAAGGATGAGGGTGTTCACCTTCTGCCCCTCGACGATGTTCAGCTGAGCCCAGACAGCCACCGCATCAACAATCCAAGCCCAGTGCACGTAGAAGTTCGGGATGGAGCCCCAGCCATGAGTGCGAGCAAATTCGATCATTTTCTTTATTATTTTTGCACATTTTCTAAGATTCTGACGGACCTTGAGCGTCGTCTCCTTGAGCCCCAGGAAAGACGGGTTCATCGTCAACGAGCGCAGCGACTCGAGACAATTCTGATAAGTCGAGTGGACGGGTTGTATGTTCACCTACCAAGAAGACACGATGCTTGTGCTCATCGTGCAAATTCCCGACGGCGGCCATCTCCAGAGCAATCGGGGCGAATTCCGGGTTCTCCGTCAGCTTGACAATCTAAAAATCCTATCAAGGTACCGTTCTAAAATCCGGGCCTGGAACTCCATCTGGGCGATCATCTCAGCAAGGCCGAGAGCATATGCAGCGGAGAGTGCAGAGATCATCTATCAAATTTAGTATATTAATTTCACTCATTTTTCAACTACATGCTTGATCGGGACAACCACTTCGCGGCCATGGACAAAGTCGAGGGCCAGCCTGACCCCGTCGAGCGTCATGTTCGGCTGCAACACGTGCAGATGGTCGAGGGTGGCCGTGTCGCCGGCTGTAACCACGTCGTAATCATCATGTATTGGTAAATTCAAGCTAGATGATTGCCGACCATGGAATGTCCCCTTGTATGTGTGGCTGCGACTCTCGAGGATCATGGCCGACACCGGGAACCTGGTGACACCGAACGCAAGCGCCGCATCCGGAACGAGGGTACCCTGATCCTGAAAAGAAAAGCTCACATCTCGTCAATAAAACAAACCTGCGCGATCGGGAAGTGAATAATGAAGCTATCGCAAAGGATCATCTCGTTCAAGAGAAGCGTTTCGTATGAATGAGAGAGTGAGAAGCCGTAGAATGAAAAATGCCCGCGCCGGGGAACCGGCGAATGAAAATACGACTATGTAAATTACCGTACCCTTCCACGCAACATTCAAACCTGCATTCTTTTTCTATCAAACCCTGACTTCTGTGGTATCCGAATAATGTTTTTGTTAACATATTTAATGCATATTACCCGTGATAATGTATGTGGGACCGGAAAAGCAAAAATACAAGCACCAAAAATTAATGAAAAGGGATTTTAGGCGATGGGCGGCGGGGTTTGACAAGTAATGATCAAAGAACAAGCGCAAACGGGTTTAGTGATCGAATTCTTGCACTTCGGCGACGGGATAGCGGCTTGGCGCTTCAATGGTCTTGGTGGGATCCCCGAAGGTGATTTCGACGAGATCACTGTCCTCCATTCCGAACTCCAACGGTGTGCTTTGCAGGTTGACCAGACAAGAGTCGAAAATCATCTGATGAATTTTCGCTGTTAAGCCAAAGGCTTTGGCAACAGACGGGGCGACGTCTTGGAAAGATGTATGCTGGAAAAATGATATTAATTGATGCGAGATATAAACGGCTCGCCGACACCTTTTAAAACATTGTTCCGCCCTTTCAGGTATGTTGTCAAAAAGTAATTTTTGCAAAGTAGCACGCATATACACCCTGGTAATACTCAAAATGAAAGCTGGAGCTTTTCGGATAAAAATTTTTGGGCCGGAGGTGTCGTAAAACAGCAAGAAATAGCTTACCGGATCCATGCGGAAGCGAATCATTTTCTCGGCAGTGCGGAAGCGCAAGAGGATTTTTCCGTCGTCGGTCGATAGCGAAGCCTTTGTTGTAGCACCGATCCACAACCGATTGACATTAGGCTGGGGCAGCAGGCCATTTTCGACGGCAGTCTTTTTTGGGCATAACAGCCTCGAACACTCCATGCGTTGCTGATCAGCTGCTGTGCTAAAATAAATCTACGCTGAACAAAATCGATAATTCACTCACTGGATTGTAAAATGCGGCTGCACACCATCCTGAGGTTCATCGATATGAGTCATAGCGTATTTGATCGCCCATTCCAGCGGCAGGTTCTAAAAAATCCAAATTATTTTCATAAAAACCAGTCTTACCGCACGCTCAATTATAGTTGTCTCACGGAAGCCGCCGAATATGGTATGGTTTACCAATGTAAACTCGTAGAGGTCGAGGCTTTCAGTCTAAAGTAATGTTCGAGAATTAGAAAATTGATCACCTCCTGAGTGGATGAAGAAACGCGTGGCTGCGAATTGCCCGAAGCGTTTGTGTGCTCGAGTTCAGCAAAATGCCTGTAAAAAGTTGTATATAGATCAAAAACATGATATACTTGGCGAGCTCGGCGGCTTTTCCGGTGTTGACAAAATTGATCTTGCCAAGCTCGTCGCGACGCTCGATCTGGGCCACTAAAAAAGCAATAGGTAAAAGGGTAGAGCTTACGCTTGGTTATTCCTTCGGCTTCCAATTTGCGGCTCTTTTCGAGGGCGATGCTAAACGAAATAAGCCATGAAGTTTGATAAGGGTGGGCGAATATTTAAATTGTTTACGGGGGGAAAGAATGTTTGCCCTCCCCCCCGGGGGGCTCTCCCCTTTTGGGTTTTTTACTTTTTTTTGTTGGGGGGGGGGCGGGCGCGGGCGGCCGCCGCCCCTTAATATGATACCGATCGATCTCTGCAGCCCTGCGCATCTTCTCGGCGACGGTAAGGTCTTTCCATTCCTCGCAGGAAAAGTCGAAGTCTTTGATGCGAGCCTCAGGACCACGCATGGCTTGTGCAGCTGCAAAAAAATTACTATGTAAAGAATTTGCCGCACCTTTCAGCAACTTTTCGGCCTTTTCCTTCGTAGTAACCTTCATCTTTTCTTTGGTGTCTTCGGTCAAAGACTCATCAAGGACCGTGATCTGAATAAAACCGATTGTTCGGTTCAAAACATTTTCTACCTCGTCCTCATCATCGTCATTGGTAGTTTGTTGCGAAGGTGAAGGCGAAATATCCGGATACTTAATCAGAAAAACGTCAATATTCGCGAAAATTACCTCCTGATCGTAATGTTGGATGAATTCACCATACGGATCCGGCTCGTCGTCGCTGTCCGATGAAAGCACAACGCTAAATTAGGGTGTAATGGTTAGGTGAACACAATCATTTACCATCCGTCTGGATCTTCTTTCGACATCTCAGCAAACGAACGTTTTCGCATGCACCTGAAAGTAGATATTTAAACGTTAGCCCTCAAGCAAAGAATAAAGCTCCACAAGATGAAGCTGAGAAGGGGAATGCCAATTCTGTAAAGTTTCTGTCCCGAAAATGCTGAAGTTCAAAAAATCTGGGTAGATGTTATTAGAAAATGACGAAAAGACGAAGCGAACCAGCTGACTAGTCCCAAAACTATTCGATTACGCAATAAAATGGACGCGTTCAAAGGCCCGGCCTGTAGTGTGCCATTAGTTGTAGCTCGTACTCGCTCTTCGCAATTTTGAAATTTGACAGCCCGAGTTGGTATGAAAAATCCACTTTTTGACCACATTTTATTGAAAAAAATGTAAAACTATTTGATTTTTGCCATTTTATTAAACGAGATATCTGTAACGCGTTCTTTTAGAATGATCACCCTGACAGACGTCACGATCCCGACAGAGGGCATCCGACTCCAACAGGCCCAAGTCGTCGCCTTTTTTGAAGAACAGCGCGGTGGCGATGGAACCCTTACCATTGCGGAGAGGTGATTACTACGACTAAATTGCCGTATCCTATCACGACGCGAAATCTGTCAAAATGCCCAGCAAAGAAGTGTTTCCGAAGACTTGCTGAACATTTTGGCATATAAAACCCGAATTTAGTTAATTTAATTTCGCCATTGCTGAACAATAATTTATATTTTCTTCACGATTTTTTACAGCTCGATCATCTGGACGGAACGGCAATCCGGCAAAGGCTTCATCCTTCCATATCCATCTATCATTTTACACGCCGTCTCCACTGATCGCTCATCGTTCCCCGAAGATTGCCTCTTTGTGCTTGTAGATATTCAGAAGACAGGTAGCTAATACCACGCTTCGTAGAGTTCCCTAGGGCAAAAGCGGCGTGCTAAAGACGTCGCATTTTTTACTGCTGCCGAGGCTGCCACTCAGAGAGGTGGGTTTACGAAGAAGCTGTGCAGTTCGTTTTTCTGATCAACAGCTTCTTTGACCCACATCTCTGACGATTTTGGCAAACTTACTTTCTTTTTTTTTCAGCTCTTGATGTCGATCAAGTGATGGAGGAAGAAGACGATGAAGATGAGGCGCGCAACATTTCAATCCGCTTTGTTCCGGCTGACACTAGTATTTGTAAGTTATTTTGAGCTTGTGGTTTGGTAATATTACTTTTACAGTGCAGCAGATGTATCGAGAAATGTGTGAATGCCAAGAGCTCCATCCAGAAGCCGATGACGATGATTCCGATGATCAGATGGACGATTATGAGCCGGTTGGGGATGGAGAGTTGAATTCTGGAAGGTTAGATTTGATAGCTATAGTACAAGTCTGGTTTTTAAGATGGTTCACTTCCGACAACATCGAGGAGGCCGAGCTGAACGAAGACGGCCTCCGTAATCTTGAAAGGATGAGTCGCGGTGGGCAAAATGGTCATCACGAAAATGGTAGCGCTATGAGCCATTTCCGAATGCTTTTTTCAGGTGATCATGAAGAAATGGATGACTGAGGGTCTCGATAATGACGAAAATGATCTCTGCCGTGCGTCTGTTTTTACATTATACGTTGTGATGATGATTTGTTGTAAACCCGGTGAGAACATTGCCTCCGGGGTGAATAAATTGATGCGAGTGCTTGCCCCATTTTCTGCAGATCGAGATAAAGCCTTTTTTGGCATCGCGATACCTAAAATCGTGCTATGTCCGAATTGAAACTTGCTAGCCTCGGTCCAAGATAGCATAGTTTTTTCAGACATTGTCCACCAAGTGGATGTCCCCAAGGGAAGATAACGTATTGCATTTATTAGCCGAACGTAGCACTCAAAGTGCTCTAGATGCCGCAAGGACACTGCTTCGCAATGGTACTTATTTCACTACTGTCTAAAATGCTTGCTTAGGCGAGAAGGTTGACCTGAAGCTGAATGGTGGTACACCTCTTCACATAGCCGCCAGCAACGACAACTTGGAAATGGTCCAGTTATTACTCCATTTTGGTGCCGACCCATTGGCTTTGAACCGGAAAAAGCAGACAGTCCTGGATGTGTCAACAGGAAACAGCAAAGTGTAAGAAGTTCAGGCTTGAGAATATCCTATTTATTAGATTCCTTACGAAATTGTTGACGTTGCCAGCGAAGAAGCAGAAGGGATTTCTCTATCGGATTTTCATATGCCATGGGAGATCGTTGGTGAATGGGCTGTTGAAGCAGACACGAAAAAAGTTCCGACGGTATTTTCACTTTTTTTGGGAAATAATAGACACTTTAGTTTGACGGTTGCGACATCTAACGCACGTCCCCCTTCACATTCCGATCCCGTACAGTTGCCGGTTGATAGACATGATCGTGAGTCTTATTTCTTTTCGATTTTTTTTGTTAAAAGCAATGGATAAATCTTGATTATTTAGCTCACCCGCCCGAAATGTTTGTCGAAAAGGATCCATTGCCTTTGGAAACGGCTGTGATACCAGGGACACCATTCCGCTCTCGCACACCGCCTACCCCAAAATCCGATTTTGTGACGACAAACCGGGGCGGTAGACCCAGGTATTTCTCCCAAAGATATATTGTTGAAATTTACTTTAGAGCTCGTGCCCAGGCACAGCCAAACTCTGTTACTCCGAGACGTGTCCGATCAAAGAGTATTGACGAGAAAATGCTACAAATCAATAGCCAAAATTTCGCTAAAAAGGTATTTAAGCGATGCCTACTTAGCCTTTCTAAATTTGTTTAGAAGACCAGGGCTCCTCCCAGTAACAAAAAGCGCAGTACTACTCCACCTATGTTCACCCCAAGGAACTACAAGCGAAAACCAGGAAACGCATATAGTAAACTTTTTTGTTTGACCACAAACTGCTTTCAGCTGCGCCGAAAAATATTCCCGTACAGCGAAACAAGTCTCCGGTATCGTTTAAGAAATTGGTAAGCGCATTAGTTTCACTAATTTCGTGGCATTTAGCCGCCACCAAGGCCTCGTCCTTCCGCGCCGCCTCTCGAATGGTCCCCCAACCGGAATAAGAAGTAAGCCACTTTCTTCGACATAATTTCGCTTCAGAATTTCATCAGATTATTTCACTGCGGATGAGAGTGTCATTGAAGAGATTGAGGAAAAATTACGAAAAGTTTGCGGCTCGCTTCATTCTCAACAAACTTGTTTAGCTGAACGTCCAAGATTCCGAGATCAAGGCGGTGCAAAAGATGACGAATGGACAGTTGCGTGGACAACTACTCCAAGCCGGAATTGCCCCCGGACCTATTACGCCTGAATCGAGAAAAGGGTGGGAGAAGAAGCTGCTTGTTTCGGGCACGCATAAAGTGAAGGTAAAAAATTTCTGCTGCCTCTTACTCAAGTTTTAGGAATCAAAGACAAACTATAGTCGGCCGCTGGAGCAAGCAATGGGCGGCAAGGCGCCGGCAGACGGTGACGATGTGAGAATGAATTTTATTTCCCATTCTCCCTAGTTGGATCGTATCCTGTTGCGCGAGTTGGACGAAGGCGCTCGTCAATTCAACTATATCCTACTCGATCCCCGAAATTTGGCTGATGGCGAGGTAAAGAGCAATAAACGTTTGCAGCTTACCGAGAATTCAGGTGAAAGTTCAAGCACTTCATCGCGGCGATATTCTACATTGGAAAAGGGACCGGGGAACGCCCACTTGCCCACCTTATTGATGCAAAGATAGCGCGGGAAGCCAAAGGGAAGAAACAACAGGTAATCAGGGAAATATTCTGGCCTAACTATCTGTCTTTTCCAGGTGCTAAGCGCCAAGATCCAACGCATCAATGAAATCTGGGATCACGGCGTCGGAGTGATCCAGCTGGAGTTAGGAAAGGGCGTCGGAGACAAATTGTCGTTTACGCGTGAAGGTTGTCTGATGACCGCCATCGGAGAGACCAACTTGACGAACATAAAGGTACGCGTTTTCCGTTAATTTTTATGTTTATTCGACAGCAGCGTAGAGATAATATAGATTATATGTCGTTATTATTTCCGAATAGTTTGACGTTTTTGACCGCACCAGAAATACTAGATTTTAAATTTTTATTTTTCAGGCCGGCGCTTACTATGGTGCAGCTCGTAATTGGGACGGACAGCGCCGTGCCATCTACGGTACCCATCTGCTACTCCGAGCCCACAAAGTCTTCAATGCCGGTGAGACATCGACAATTTTTATGAAACGTTATTCTTAGATCGTCCTCAACAAATCATGCCGCGCAACGTGCCCGACCAGCTGTTTAGGCCAAAAAAGCAATAATTGATAGCGGTGTACCTACTATGTATTTTTTGCACGTCCCATGCTCATAGGCCTCAATGTTTGTATCTCAGTTTTTATATTGACCTCGCATGTCCCCTAGTCTCCCGCAATTTTTACACTGCCACTGGTATTCATATGCACTTATTCTCAACTTTCAGCTTGACGCTCAATGAGTACTCGTCGATAAAATTTATAGACGTGGAGAGACACCGGCATCTCGCAGTTTTTTCTGCATACCATACCTTTACTTTGCTTTAAGAAATGTAATAATCAGAAGAATAGTAATTTTAGTCTATGTCATATCGGGAGAAGTTATCATTGAGAGCAGCTGCAAAACACGTGCTAGAAGGCTCACGTAGCTACCCGGCTCCGAAGGATGGAGAGGCGTCCACGTCATTGACCCTTTTCACAGAAACTCCTTGCTTCGAGGTCTGTTTTCCAGCAGATGAATCGATTTCCATTTAGACCTTCGCTACTCGTCTAACGGAAAACCAGGCACAGATGAAGTACGAGGAGGACATCCGTGTTGGCGATGTCATTCTGGCCAAAGTCAAGAGGTCGAGTGTTTTGTTTTTGCACAAGTGTCCGGTCGATGATGTCGCGCCCCCTCGCCAACTAAAAGAACTCTCCGTAGATTTGATGCGGCCGGAGCTTTCGTGAAGCCCCTTTGTACGATGGTGCGTATCAAAAGGGATTTGGAGTGGCTCGATATCCAGGTATATCCTCCCCGCGCTTCGCTTCAAGGAGCTGGTTTAGTTAGTCGCCCCGGTCAACCCTCTACAGCGACGTTTCAATACTGGTGAAAAGGTGATCGTCGATGTGCTGGCTCTCAACCCGATCAAAATATCCATTCGCGATGTAAGTTTGGGGTGCTAGCGCTTTTGGTGGCGCTACGCAAGGCGCTGTTGCATATTCCCCAAATTTGCCTTGCCTCCAGTATTTTTATTGTTGAGGCACCTCCGGCTGAATGTGTACCACCTCCATACTTTAGGTAATCTCTCCTTTTGGCGCTGACTTTTGTTTAGCGACCTACAAGACGTCGAAGGGGTGCCATTCTGGAAGTGGGCGTCAAAGGGACCTGAGCAGAATCCCTACCTGGAGGAGGCTCTTCGGATGCCAACACGTTGCCCGTTGACTTTCTTGAGAATCCCGGGACTTGATAAGGTAACTTGGAACTGCTGATAGACCAAAACCTTTGCGCTCAGGATGTGGCGGAATCGTCGGCTATCCTGAGGAAACGTCAGAACCGGGATATGGCGATGGAAGCAGTAGCACGCGGTGTTCAAGGTTACTTTTCTTTATTTCTCAAGTTGCGTTTTTCCAGCTCTGAAAGACGGTGGCGGGCTCCTTGGTGCCGTCCCATTATTCAACAAAGCCATCGAATACAATCCCGAATGCGTCGAAGCCTTTGTAGCTCGAGGAGCAGCGTTGGTTGCGCTTCGCCAGTCAGCAAACTTCTTTTAGTTATGCGAATGAGGATCAACTGGACAAGGCGGTGGAAGACCTTGAAGTTGCGATCTCCCTCGATCCGGTGGCCAAGAATGCGTCGATATATCTTTTGGAAGTGTTATTGAAGCTCGCGAATCGGTTTGTTTACCTTCCTGTTTTTGATCGATAGTTTAGTCTAATCGAGGAGGGCGAGAAAAATGAAGCTATCGTAAAGCTAACACGATGTCTTGATCTTGATTCCGCTGATCAACGAATTGACCCATTGTTGAAGCAGCTCGGCGTGGACCGATCAAAAGATAACAGGTAACTGAAATTACAATGAAAATATTTGTTTTAAGTCGCCGCAGTCCTAGCGTAGAAATCGTTGATGCACCACGGGGCGGATCAATGAATGGCGAGCGAAAGGTCAGATATTCTAGAATTTCTCACAAATTCCAATCAAGCGCCACCAAGAAGACGAAATGTCCGATTTCAACAAGGAAAAACGGCGACGCGAGGAGCAGGTGGAGCGTGAGAAGGAGAAGCAGGCGAATCGCGAGAAGCTGATGGAATTCGAGAAATTTATTGCCGCTATGAAGAATACTTAGGATCAATTTCGTTAAAATATTTTGTGAATTTGTTAGTTCCGTTGCAAATTATATCCCTGTCACTTGTTGCCTTTCAATTACCTGTTTGATAAAGTTACGGCTAAAGAGGTGGCTCTGGCTCCTGTGAGAACAACGAATCTGGCCGATGGCTATCTTCTTCTTTACAATTTACCTTCATCAAATACGTTAATTCTATGCTTCAGATCGATGAGCTCGAATCCATCAAAGCTGCAGCTGAAGCGGGAGAGGAGGCAAGCAAATCGGGCCCGCTTGGACGAGGTCTGTGATCCTTATAACATGCTTATTTTTATTAAAATACTTTTAGCAGCAGCGAGCCGCCCGAGAAGAGCAGATCGAGCGGACCAGTGCTATTTTTTGGAATAGCTTGGCCGGAGAAGAGCAACGGCGGGAACTCCGCGCTTCGTTGATCCCAAAAATATTCGGGTTTGATTCCAAATTAAGTTAAAGTCTTGATTTAGAGCCCCTACGGAACAAAGGCCGTTGACCATCGATGATCTGCAGTCGCCGTTCCAGCAGAAGCCGAAATAATTTGCCTTTGGTCATAAATATTTTATAACTGATTTGTGTATTTTCATTTCGTGGTTGGACCACACAGTTTATCGCATAATTTGATTTTTTTTGGTCCAAAGACTGTGCCCCTTTTAGCGATGCTCGATGTCTCGCTGCCTTTCGGACGATGCTTCTGCATCCATGCGCAACTTCAGTTCATTGACATCGCCATGCAGGTATTCTTAGCATTTTTATCGCAATCTTAGATTTAGTCTCTGATGCTCCATCACGGAGTTCTGAACTCTCCACTCGCCGTCGTCCCGGAGGAGCCATCTGCCGGGCTGCGGAAGACGCTGAATGGGATTGAAGCGGTTGGTTGCATCTTAATTAATTACGCCTTAATGTTACAGGTACGTACGGAACTTCGTGAAATTTTCCGGTCTGCTCGGCGACGTCATATCACATTGATGCGTATCCACATTGGCTCGACTCCACACCGCCCCTCGCACGTATACGGTAATACTCAGACCCCTCTTTTACCATTTGGCTCAGAGTTGCCGGTTTCGATTTGTGACGCCCACGATTCGACACATCAGAATTGCGGGGAGTGTTGCGAGGTAGCTGCACAATTCTTATCAAAACAGGTTCTTTAGCAATTGAGTGACTCTGAGCAACGAGTTCTTCATCGACGCTTCTTCACTAGTTTCCCCGTGCATGAGCAAACGGTATATTACGCTATTCTGGCGAAACATTTATTTTCAGAAGACGCCACATGACCGTATGTTCTTCTTCATTCATACGACACCGGAAGTGATCAACGAGAACCTGGAGGAAGCGTGAGTTTTCTGGAGCAATTTATTATTTTTGTTTTCAGGGATTTGGACACTGCCGGTTTCGAATCGAAAACGAGAAAGATCCGGCTCGTACACGAAGGATGCGATCGGCAAATGGAAAACCCAGCTTGCGATGTGAAAACCATGGAATGGCTGCGCCTCGTCCCGTTCATCGTTGCTGCCAAGGAGTAATGTTTCGCAACACTATATCCCATCTGATCTCAATATTCTCTGACACCGAATTCTTTCACCTCTATCTTAACGCTCACTTTTCCATGCCTTCTTAATTTATATGTTTGTAATAAATGCAGCGAAAAGATTCTCCAAAAAAGGTTTATTAAATAGGACCCGCTTACTGTAAGTGGATTGAATACACAAAAATGTGAGCTAGCAATGAATGGGTACACGATATTAAGAGATTCGTAAGCAGATTAGTGCAGCAGCTCAATCAGGGTTATGGATTAAATTTACGAAGAGGGTGGCACCCAGCCGCCGAAGCCCTCTTCCAGGTCTTTCGCACATGCGATGAGAAGTCGGTCGGAATTCGGGGCTCCAACCACTTGCACACCAAGTGGCATCCCATTCTTGGCCAATCCCATTGGGCATTGTACCACTGGGACGGCGAGAGCGTTGAACAGGGCTGTGTACGCAAAATTGAGCGGTTTCAGCAATGGTTGGTGATGATAGGGAGCCGTGTGGGGGAACGAGGGGAACAACAGGATTCCGTCGCCTTGGAGCAGTTCACGCATTTCGCGCACCAGCTGATCTCGTTTGTAGCGCAACTAGGTTTATAGGTGACTGTTGAATGGTGAAAGACATACCTCCTTCACCAACGTCTCGGAAAAGGGGCCATTCGGGTTATCGATAATAGCTAAAAAAATATAAACTCTTTCTAGCCATATCGCGAACCTGTAATCAAAGCGGGCAGGGTGTGGTGGGACTGTCCGAATGGATACTTCAACAGCTCCCAGAAGCAATTCACCGATCCCTAAATTTTGGTCTTCAAAATAGAATCTGTGCAAACCTTTAGCTCATCCAAATGCTGGCGGAAGCTAGGCTCCCCTTCAATGTACATCGATACCAGAAAGAATTGGAGGGCAAGATGAGCTAGCGGCAGATCGACGCGGATCGCAGTTAGATCGTACTTGCGTACGAAATATTTGACCGCCTGGAAAGAAGGATTTTTGCTAGATACAACCGAGCAACTGACCCGCTTCAACGTGTGCAGCATGTCGTCGTGAATATTCTCTGCGAGCGGTGTGTGCAACCCTTCCATGTAGTAGATCTTCATTTTACGCATCTAAATTCCAGGCATGAGAGAGAATAATTGTAATAGTATACCTGTACAGGATCATCCAAACGCAGCTCAACAGCCGCCGGACCTCCCATCACCTTCAGCATCGTGGACAAGTCTTCTGCGAAGCGACAAATGGGGCCAATGCGCAGCATTTGAGCCCGATATCCGGGGATGGCTCCGGGGAGATGGCCTTGCAGTGGGACGACACCTGGGGTCGGCTTCAGCCCGAAGACGCCGTTGAAGAAAGAGGGCATTCGGATGCTGCCACCGATGTCACTGCCCACGCCAACCTAAAATGTAAAGTATTCGAAAGCTGTTTTAGAGTAGATGCCGAAACATAACCCAGAAAGGATTCTCAAACACGAAGTGAAGCCTAGCTTCAAAAGTTTGATTTTTAAAACAGACCGCTGTTGCAGCACTGGCCACAAGAGCCGCTTCTCCACCGCTGCTCCCACCCGTGATCCGCCGATTATCGTAGGGGTTGTGGGATCGGCCTAAAAAGTTATGAGGCGCAAAAGGCTGCTTACCATAAATCGTATTCACACTTTCCCACCACATACACACTTCCGGCACGTTCGTCACGGCCAACACGATACCTCCAGCGCTTTTTAGTCTAAATCGAGATGAAACGTTTTGGCGATTTTTTACCTTGCGACGACGGCAGCATCTTTTTCAGCGATCGTCTCCCTGCGGCAGTACATCCCATTTGAGCAGGGCAGACCGGCTACCTAAAATTGAAAGATTCATTAGGCAGAAGACAGCAGCCCAAACCTCAATGCAATCCTTGAGCGTGAACGGTACCCCGAGTAGCGGCTCGTCGAAGGCGAGCGGAATAACATGGATATGTATTTGATTTGAATTCATACCTTTTCCCTCTGAGCGTCATCAAGCTGATCGAGCCGATCATCTACGCGTGCTGCTTGCGCACGGGCATCATCAAAGTTAGGGATCACCACGGCATTGATGATGTGGTTTATTTGATCGATTCGACGAATGAAGACTTCTACGAGCTCTGACGAAGATACCTAGATCTTACATTGTAAATCCCTGAAAAAGTATTACCTCTCTTTTTCGGATCATATCAGCCGCCTGTGTGGCGCTGATCTGCAGCAATTCATCCTGAGGTTTCGGGACGCTGACACGATTTGTGAAGAGGTGGATGAAGCCGAAGAATAGGTTCACGCAGTGGAAGTAGAACTAAAACGGTGATTTCGACTGCGGAAATATAATTACCAAGGAAAATACGGCCAAGACCGGTTCGATCTTGACGAGCAGATGGTAGATGAACATGAAGGCGAGCTGCTGGGGCTGGAAACAAAAGGTCTGGGTTACGGATAAGGGTAAGGCCAGTGACAAGAGGAAAAACGGAAAAATATATGTATGCACATACCGCTAATATCGTACCCCCCTTCCTGCGATCGCACATTTCGACGGACATGACCAAATGGTTGGACACGTTTGTGACCCTAGGGTTTCCCGGTTCCCCCGCAGCGTCTACTTTCCCAGGCTCAGCGCGTGGGTTGTGCTACTTTGCACACAGCGAGGGAGGAGCAGCTAGTCAAAGGACCCAATGATGAGTATTTACGTCACGGAGGTCAACCGGCATCAGCAAACACCGATCGGTCAACACGACCGTTTTCAAGTCGGAGATCAACTCACTCAGCTAACAAAACCCTCGTGTGGGTGGAGGGAAGTACGTGTCTACTGGATGAGGTTGCAAAATTTTTCTTTTCAATGGGAAGGTTTTTCGATGGCGAGGGTCTTTGATTGGCCAAGTCGAAAGCTGCTTCGGGAAGCGAAAGCTTTAAAAACTTCAAGGCCTGGATTCATTAGAAACACTCTTTTTAAACCGAGCGCTAAAGAGGCTACTTTTCAATAGCAAACTTTTTCCAAGGGGTTCTTTTCAGTGGAGCAAGTCAGACCAAATCAAAACCAGACTTCGAAAAATTGAAGGGGCGACTTCGTAAGGAAGCGCAAGCGTACGCTTCTAATAGCTGGCTTCCTTCGAAGCCAACGCCTTGCAACACTTTAGAATGACATTCCCAAACCCCCGCCTAAAACTACAAATTTCCAGGGGAGAAAGTGCAAAAAGCATTCCGCGGCACTTTATCGCCATAGGGTAGTGCTCGCAGTGATTAGGCTTGTCACCCCCGTCGGCGGCTGGAACAACGATTATTTATTACACGCGGAACCGAGCGTGGAAACAATTGATCCTAGACAAGTTGAGGAGATCGGTACTGGGTTTTGCCCTTTGTAAAGGGCTAGGGGCACGCAGCTCGCACAGGCACGTGGAGAATTGAGTTAGGGATGAGGTATACAAACATAAACAAGGTTGCAACGTGGGCAGGATGGGGCAAACTCGAGGGCATTTGTGTTGTTTTGGAGTGGATTCTGAGCTTGAAATTCTCGATTGATACAACCCGGGATGCGATGGGAAAGACTAGGCACCAAAATACATGGTTCTGGACTGTTAGCGGGGGAGGGGGGGGTAACTAGTATCTAACGTTGGTCTATCGCCCTCAATCCACAGATACACAGCATTTATAAGTAATCAAAAGCTACGAAAACTATAAAATCCATTTTAAAATCCCATAAAATTGCTACTCAGTATAGGCTTTCCCCCGCTAAGAGTCAAGTACCAGCCATTTTTGTTGTTTTGGAGTGAATTTTGAGCTTCAATTTCTCAATTTTGACGTCACACAAGCGGAAATGCGTTGGGTAAGCCTAAGCACCAAAATCAGGCTAAGAGCCAAGCGTTCAAAAGTCACGTAGCCAGGGGGATCGCAAATAGGCATTAGGTGTATGGATGAGTTGAGCTATAGAGGTCAAGGGACAGCGATGCTGCAGGCATACTCGCCCAAAGATCACAACAACAAATAAGAGGCATCCCCCACACGGGGGTATGGCAAAAAGGAGGGTGGTGGGGCAGAGAAAGAGCTCTGGAAAACGACGAAAAAATAAACCCGTTCGGCGGGATGATGCCATGCCTACAATCAGGCCGATGAGATGTTAGCCAGCTGCTTCCGCTTCATCCTCATCGCCTTCAGAACCATATTCTCCGAAGTCGGGCTGAAAATGAAATAATTGGTGCTTCCATACTGGCGGGGGAGTAAGGCAAATTTTTTTCAGGGTGCTGTAGAAGACAAAAGAATTAAACTGATTAATATTAAATTGACAATTACGCTGATTAAAAACGATGTGAAAAACATAAAATTAACTAAAGTTTCTCTTTAAATTTGCAAAATGATCAAGACTGTCCAAAAACTGTCAATTTTAAAATCGTGCTTAAACTTATAATGTTCTATTGTCCTGAACCACCAGGTAACTTGAAAAATGAACTGCTGACCAGTATTTCTGATTTCCAATCGAGTTTTCCTGACTTTCTCTCTGTTTGCAAAACCCCCTCAAAACGCCGTAGCACGCCCAGGATGAATCGATAAAAACCAAAACCCACGTCACTTTCATCCAATCGCAAATTTCGCATCCCAATAACATCGTCCTCATCGCGCGAATCGCCTTCAGAATAAGTGTCATCATCTTCGCCACTACCCGACTCTTCTTCCGGATAATCGTTGCTCAAAGCGCACGATAAGCAAAATCCCAAATAGCTTACCCCCAGTGGTTCTCGTCATTCGAATCTTCATCGTCATCTGCGCATTCCTCCGAATCAGAGCCAGAGTCCATCCAGAGATTGAATTCCTCCTACAAAAAAATGGTCAACGAATCAAATAAAAGCGAACCTGCGACATGAATCGCATCTCGAAATCCGCTTCATCGATTGCGGCCCGAATCTCTCCCTAAAAAAAAGGAAGAATCACGAAAACAGGGCGTCGATTACCTTTTTGATCTCATAAAAATCGTAGACAATATCGCTTTCATTTGGAATGAGCTTCATCATTGGCCGCCCATTGCAGGTGATCACGTCCGCGCTGGCTTTTGGGCGGTCGACCCGGAAATCGCCAATCTAAAAGCCAGTCTGCCAGCAAATGAGAAAATCACTCACCTCTCCTACAGCATCGCCAAACTGCGCGAGAGGTTGTTCGGTCTCATCAACCTAAAGCTGGATGAGGAGCAAAAAGGTCAGATACCTGTTGCACCAGTAGATCGCTGAAGTTCGGCTGTGCGACTGGAGCGCCTTTGTAGTCGATGATCTAAAGAAATGATTATAGCAATTTTCAACCCCGTTAATACCTTAATATCGACAGGAAGATGAGGAGAATCCTGGGTTGCACAAAGGGAGAAGAGCAACGGGTCACCCACGTCTAAAATTATGCTCGTAAGATTAAAAAAGAGACGTACCATTAGTCCCATCCAGCCTGCCACGCTTGATGCAGACCATCAAGGCGCTTTTCGGATCCGCCGTCCGTTTTCGGGACACGCGAATGAATGGGGCTGCTGTAGTGGCCATCATTTGCCTGTAAAATATACTACTAGCCTTACTTAGAAAAGCCAACAGGTTATTTTCCAAACGTACTACTTGAGGTGTATTTGTATTCAGGTTTCAAACCAGAAAACCACGGCCATGAACACAGGTTACCTTCAAACCAATTTATACATTCTTCCAAGTAATGTTAGCTGACTATATATTATGGACTTTGGGATGTGCAAAGATATGTTGGGGGAAAAATCAGATCTCACAAGCGGGAGCTCTTCAAATCGAGGAGTCAATACAGCGCAAAGTACAGAGAAAGACTAGAGGCTTGCAATCGGCGCATTATTCATTCTTTGACGACTTTGAACACCTTCTCCAACAACGCCGTCTTCGTTGTGTCGCTTAGGTTCTTGTATTCTTCGGTGTTTTTGATGGCGCGCACGTCCGAGTAGGTCTTCAGGGAGTGGATGCAGGAATGCTGTTCAAAAAGTTTATTAAAATTTCCCAATGAAAGTTACCTGTAATTTAGCCAAAATATATTGATCGGCCCAGACGAGCTTTGTCACCAGCCCAATATCCTCCGAGCTGATCAGGAAACTAAAAACTTAATTTTGGCAGATAAAAATATTTACCGTTCACATTCTTCTAGCACGAATTGCATCTCGAACTTGTCGCCTAGCTCCAGTAAAAATTCGACATTTTCCGCTAAAAAAAACATATTAATTTGGCAAGCGAAACACACTAGATACTGGCCGACGAGACGGGTAGACCACATTCAGCAGCTCGACGAATTCGTCGAAAATCACGTCCTCGACGGGAATTTCCTTCTTTTCTCGCTCCGAAAAGTTGGAGTAGAACATGGCGTTGAAGACGGGCGAGTGGAGGGCCAGGTACTAAAAGTGCAACGTTAAAAAATTAATTTTTCTTATACCTCCTTGCTGACGTGCAGGCGCATTCCATCAATTACCAAAATTGCAGAAGATGTTGGCAGCGGGTTCAGGAATTCAAAAGAGGGAAGTCGCCTGTAAAAACAAATTTCAAGAAAAGCCTGGCTCAATCGACCTGACGCCAACGACTTTTTGCACGGTGATCTTCGCCTCGACTACAACGCGATCGCCTCTAATATAGCCCTTCTCGGGATTCAAGATATCCGTCCATTCCATGAATGAAGGGAAGCCCCAATTGTTCGAGTTGTAGTTGAATTTGTTAGTGAAATGGCGCGAGAAGTCGGGGACACCGTCCTTCAGCGAAATTAGCCGGAATTCCACCTGGAAAAAACAATACTAGATTTTTATTGAATACACAATACACCTATAGCCCGTTCTCAAAAATTTATACTTACCACCGCATCGCAACTCCACAATGTGCTCTCACTTTCCGGATTGCAATCGATGTACACGGAGAAATATTTCACGTGGGAAGTGCGTTTTGTACATTCGGTCTTTGCAGCGAGTCGCCTGGAAGGAAATATTAGTAGAGAAACAGTATCTTACCAGGGAAGATTTGCGATGTTATGGTACGAGGTGTTCACCTTAGCACGCAGTGACGACAAATTCGGGATGTTCAGCTTAATCGAACCCTCGGTTTTTCCTAGAAAATGAAATAACAGCAAAGCAAAATTGACTAACCCGGGCGCATGGGAACGGTTCCAGTGAGATCATCAAATGAAGAACGGACGTATTCAGATCCGCACCCGTCACCAGAAGTTCTAAACAATTTTGATAGATAGATAGATAGACTCACAATTGGTTGTCATCAGCTATATTCGGGACTGGATTTGTTGATGAGCAGCCTGCTTGACCTAAAGTGGAAATTGGAGCAGACGCCGGATTTCTTACTAGCAAAAAGACGCTTCGGTGGTCCAGAAACAAACATCTTTGGTGTGTCGGCAGGTCTGGTGGGCTGAAAATGCAAAAATATTGATTGTTAGCATTTCATTCTGGTAACCAAGTCAGGGGGGTCTTTATGCACTATACTACCTGCTCGATGTGTATATGCGGCATTTCTAATAGGAGCTGAAGCGAATAATGGAAAGTCTCAAAGCTTATCAACGTTCACCTGGGAGAATCAGGATCACCGGCGGGCGGAGTGGGATGACGAAAAGGGAAAGGCCGCCCGCCACCGAAGCCCTTTCCTTCCCGAATAAATCCCCACTACGGATTAACAACTACATCAGGACCAAGAGCATCATTTCCGATCAAGGGAAACATTTTCGGGGGTGGATGATTGCTTCCCCGGATTTAAAGAGCTTCTTTGAGGGACATTACGCATCGCATGACACGACCGGAAACCCAAAAATCCATTAGCCAAGCAACTTCTGACCTCGGGCGACCCATCGCGGCCCTGCGGGTTTGACGAATTCTTCTTTGACCGCCTTTTATCTTCGAATTCAGCGGCTACCCCCGAGGATCCGTTCACGTCGGAATCCATCCTGCAAAATTGCTGGTTTATGGAGGTTTTCTGAAGCGTCCAAGTCGAGAATCACGTAAATTTAACAGTGTATCTTCACCTAGACGATCTAACGAAGCCAGATTAAAAACCCGCCGCAAAAGTCGTCTAGCAGCTCATCAGTCCATGAAGCTGGAGGAGCTTTCTCCTTTATTGAGCAGCTGTGACGCCAAGTCCACCAAATAGCATGCAACCCGTTTCCCCTTTCGTGACCCGAAGAGTCTACCACTTCCGAACAAACCGGCCTACCGCAGAAAGACAGTGAGAAACCATATAGGAAACACGTCGCATCCCCCGAACCAAAAAATAGAGCCGATTGAAACGGATTAAAGACGGTGCTATGAGAAAAACCCCAGCAAACAGAGGCAGATATGGTGTCAATAATTAATATGGGCAGACAATGGTGTTCCCATGGTAACCAGCTGATGAAGCCCTCCGGCTCATCCGTTCCCTCTTTCCCAGTTTCATGAATTCGTACGCCTAATCAACAAAATAAGGCAGGTCTTCTAATCTGAATTTATTTTCTGTATTTTATAATTCTTACAAGGCTTCAACCGCTGTTTTTCAAACAAGGAGGGGTTTTCAGATTTTGGGCATGAAACGGGTTTATGTTTGGGTCGATGGACGGGTCACTTTGAAGCATTGCCTCCCAATTGCTCTGAATAAAAAATTGGTTGGTTGAAGCACGAATATCTGGAAAAAATCCTGATCAGAAGCCTTTACTGAAAAACCGATGTCCCGGCCAGAATAATTGGCTTGAAGCAGCACAGGAATTCCTACGCTTATCCTCGAATTCAGCCAACGATGGGTTTATCAGGTACTAGCTTCAAGGTCTCCGAAATATCCAACATTGTCTATTAGTGAAGCCGCGTGGCATGATGTAGCTGGTAAGCAAGGAATTTCTGAAAGCCTGGCGACCGCCATTTTTTCTATAGCATCTGATGGTATCGGGGTAAGTCGATAAGCGATGAAATTGCAATAAAAGTTATAGAAAAAAGCATCAATGGTTTCGATAGCCCTTTCCTTGATATTGTTGGGCCTCGAAATTTTCTGTCAGGAAGCCGATGAGCACGAGGTATTTCTGTAGCCTAAAAAAAGCAACAAAAAAATAAGATCGAAACTCCGTTTGCTGAGAGGAATCGTTCGACATTGTTTTACGAATTCCTGAAGCAGAATTTAGGTAAGGAGGGATCTACTATGATAAAAAGTGTTACAGAAGAGATTATTGACATCTTGGAATGTAGTCATTTGGCCGGGAAAGCTCTAGCACCAAGTTATAGCATCCCGTATTATGAAAGTATAGCGTTTCTCGATTGTCTATTAGAAGGGCTGATTGATACAGGTAGGTGCTTTTCCCTATTTTTTTCACGTTCAGATGATAAAACGACGAATGACGCGCTAAAATTGGACGCGCCGCTGTCATTTTCAAGGATAGCGCATCGGGTTTGGAAGGAAACTGAGGTTGGCGCTACGGTTCATGAAACCAATCGCACTATAGATCGACCGCAGTGAGCTGGTGAAGAGACTTCACGCCTGCTTATGCGCTGATCCATTTGGGATTGATGATGTATCTGTGGACGGGGTGAGACTTTCTAGCCAAATTTTGCCTCAGCTACACTAAAGTAATAACTCAGTTTATCCGACAAATTACAGCCGATCTCATCAAACGGCGCCCCTTCAAAGAAAACAGCCCTTGGAGCTGGTAATCGGAGACGGGTCTTTGTAGAAAATTGGAGTCGAATCGAGGCAAGTATCTAACGGCGCTCATTCTCACTGGATCAGATTTTGCGGCGAAGCGTTTATCGTGATTCACACCTCCGACTCAACCACACTAGACCGAAAGCAGCGCGCCTATTCCAGCCGTGGAGGTGAAACAAAATGAACAAAACTAATTAAAAGTTACTAGGGGCCAGACGGCCGTCATCGACGGGGTGCAAAGCTGCTCGTCGCTAATCCTGGGACCTATCGCCGAAACCGTATACCTAAAAAATTGCCGAAACTCCTCGATCAGTGTCGCGTGCAAACAGCTTGTAATGCAAGGTAAAATTCGGCTTGATTACCCAAAACAAAATTTTTGGACTGCTCGAATCTATACCTTAATTGTTTATCCTCTAAAAGACCGATCTTGCGGAACTCGACAAATATCGTAATCGGCCCCTACAACACCTACTACTCGGTTTGTCCACATTGTGACTTGAAATATCAAGAATTTAGGGGATGCTAGCGGAATACGCAGAAAGTGGCCTCACACTACGGCTCAACGAAATTCAGCGGATACCAATATTGGTAAACTCCAAAAAAAAAAAGTCAGGCGTGAGTCAACTTCTAGCTCGATGCCGAGACGTCATTTACCTTTCTAAACCCATCCCATTTCTACGTGGAGCCCCTGCCAATTCAACAAGAAGAAGATTCGTTCGAAGCACAGGTTAGACCGCAAACTTTACAAAAGGCTCCAAGGAGCATGAAGAAATGTACCTTCGACTTTGCATTTCCAGGCATTCTACTGTCACTTGCCGCCATCGTTCGAGAAGACTTGGCGTGAAAATGCGGCGCGGCACAGTCTTCTCTGTTCCGATTGCAGTTGTCAGCGGGTCATCAACAGCAATGACGAGCGTTACCTGAAAAGCAAAACAGTTGACGAATAAATCGAGAAGAACACGAAGAAGAGAAACGCATAAATAACTGAATACAAGTTCAGCATGAAAAAATTAGCATAAATTATCGTGAGATCCCATATATAAAAGGCCCGGGTCTGAAAAAGGAAATATTCTGCCGAAGATGTCGAGCACCGACATGCCAGCCGAGCTGATCGGCGCCAGCATTGAGAAGCTGCTCGATGCGAACATCCACTTGGTCCATGAGGTGAGATATTCTTACGTACTTAGCGGCTTAATTTTCTGATTCATTAGCAGGGGGACCTTATCGTCCTAAACTTTTCGATTAGGATTGTGTCAGCGTGATTCGATAGACCCCATAACACCTCAAAATAGGGCAAAAATCTCAGATGGTAGAGCAAAAACAAGAATTACTCGGAAAAGTGGGGCTGATAAGCCAGTTATCGAAATTTGGTGCTACATCTGCGACATTTTGTTAGCGCCTTACACCCTCAAAAATACACTTTGTAATCCAAATTCCGGGAGGAAATACCCCCCCCCGCTAACGAACCAGAACCGCGACCTCTTCGGCCCGAACCAGCATGTTGCATACAGATGAGGGCGCTGCGTGCAGACGTTGAAGCCACGAAGCAGCGGGTCGATGGCGTGGCCTCCTTCCTGCGCCAGATGCAGTACGAGCTGTCTACCGATGTTCCGCCAGGCGATGGTTGCCCCTTGCAGGCGACCCAATCGGAACCTGTGCAGCGTGCACCACCGGCTCTCTACGCCATGCCGACCACCAGGCGCCGCGGCGGGGACTCCACGGTTCATTGTCAAGCCCACAATTTACTCTTACTTTCTAGGTTTCTCACCTGAGCGCCGAAGCGATCATCTCGGCCCCGCCACACTCTACCGCTTCATCGAAGTTGTCCATTCCCATCTCAATTTCTGCCGAGAGCCTGTCGACCAACTGCGTTTGTTGTTCCCAACGATCCAAACTTTAATTCAGTCGTGGGCGTCGCATACGCGTCAGTCGAGCTCGATCACCAACAGCCAGCCTATCAAAGTGCCTTCTCAAATCAGCTCGATCTTCGAAGAGGGATCGACTCGTCCCACCCCGAACATCCGTGTCCGTTTCTCAGATGAAGTGCCGTCCTTTTGAAAGCGCCAAACTGACTCCCATTTCAGAAGTGGCGCAACCAGCTGGCCAGCGAGAAGACGGCCGAGCTTCCGGGAAAAGACGGGTCGTCGAACGCTTGCTGCTCCCGGGACATGAAGCCGTAGATGGCTGCCACAAATCCTCCAATTAACAAATATGTTATCCTGCAGTTCACTCTTTCATTTGGTCAAAGACACCAATGTTTCGGAATAAAGACGCTTTGTATCATTCGACCATCCCCCTTGCCGTAATGTCACCACAGATAAAGGACACGAACCCACCAAGATTGGAAATAGAAATCGAATCCAATAAGGAGCGCCTGAGTCAAGCAGGAACACGTGAGTGGTTTCGGCGGCTTAGATTCCAAGAAAAAGAGCCCAATTCTTATGGTGGTTGTGGTTTGCTATAGTCGGTGAAAAACCAATACTGAAGCTTTTCTCACCAAAAAAGACAGTGTGGTAATAAAAGTTTATCGTGAAGGAATAAAAACGATCAGGTACAGGTACAGAGCATAATTTAAAAGCATATTATTTGCGATCAACGGTGACACAGAGTAGGCGACGGAGTTCCGAGAGAAGCTGATCTTGCTTGCGCTGCTGGCGTTCCATTTCGCGGATGGTCGTGTTGACGTTGCCCAGCTCGTTAGTCAAGTCCTCATTCTAGGCAAAAAATTCCAGCAAATTGTGAATCGATTACCTCTTGCACCATCTTTTTCTTGGCACGCTCCGCCTTGTCGCGAGCCAGTTCAGCTTCTTTGGCGGCGTCTAGCGCTGCATCGAGTTCTCGAGTCAATTTGCGCTTCGCGTCTTCGAGCTTCTTGTCCGACTCTGCTTGGAGAGACTTCTGCAGATCGGCGCATTCGATGGTGGACTGAGCCAGTTCCTATACCAGAAATGAGCAACAAGTGCCAAGAAACCTTTTCCAAGCGCTCATTGGCCTCTTGCAGATCGTCCAGAGCCTTTTCGACAGTATCAAGTTCATCCTGCTTGCCGCGCAGCTTGGTGAGGAGTTGCACTTTGCTCCTGAGCACAATAAACAAAAGAACGAAAACGTACTTCTTCTCGTCCTCAACGGTTTCTTGCAGATCCAGTAGCTGCGATTCGAGGAGAGCACACTTCTTGATCAGAGCAGAGTTGTCGATGGCTTCATTTTCACGCTCTTGCTGAAGAGCATCGAGCTGAGCGTTCGTCTGAAAGCTTTGTTTCGATAACTAGTTGCAAATTCACCTTTGTCAGCTGCTTGGTCAGTTCTTGATTCTTGCTCGTTTGCTCTTCGAGTCGGCGCTGGAGCTCGTTGTAGGAAAAGTCGGTGGCTCGGCGCTTCTTTTCACTCTCGCTCTTTGTGTCACGCAGCTGCTGAATCTCCTTCTCAAAGCCGTCCTTCTCGCTATCCCAGGTGATTCGAGCCTTCTCCAGCTAAACAAGAGATTAGTATGGAAGACATTTTTACCGTGTACTTGGCGCGGCGAAGCGCATCGAGTTCGTGGTTGAGATCTTCGACCTGTTTGGCCGCCTTGGTGCGGAGTTCATCGAGAGCACGCTGAGAAGCGGCTTGTTGCTCGTCAAGGGCCTTCTAAAACGAATATTTGGACATCTGAAAACTACTCCGTGACCAACCTTCAGATTAGTGCACTCATCGTCCCGTTTCTGCCGCAGCTCCGAAGCTAGTTGGTTCTTGTCGTAGGTTTCCTCGAGCTCCGCCTTGTAGTTCTCAAGTTCCTCGGCAATTTCTTGGCGCATCCGATCGCTTTTGGCACGGGCCGCTTTTTCGTGCTCCAGTTCTTCACGCTTTTCAGCGAGTTCCAAGCGGAGCGTGCGGACGTCTCGTTCCAGAGCTTGGATCTGGTTCAGGTCATTTTCGGATCTAAATACTATCCAGAAAAAATAGCAAATTGCTTACTTCTTCAGAAGCTCAACAAGCTCGTCTTCCTTTGACCTCAAATGCGAGGTGGTCACCTCGATTTGGCGGATCCGCTCCGTCACGGTTTCTTTGTGCTCGCGAAGTTCTTGCTCGAGGCTTCGACGTTGGCCTTCGAGCTCGCTACGAAGTTTCTAAAAAACATTGGTGCGCCATTCACTTAAAAGGTACCTTTTCCTTATCGAGTTCTTGTGCCAGCTCCACAGCCTCAGCCTTCTCCTTCCCACGAAGCTTCTCGGCATTGCGTATGCGCTCTTCTTCGGTCAGCAGCTTCTCCTGCAACTCTTGGAGCCGCACCTCGAGCGAACGCTTTTCTTTCAGCAGCTAAATGGAGTAAGAATCAGACAAAAGGGTTTGCCTTACGCGAGCATTGGTCTCGTCGATTGTAGCGTTGTTCTGCTCGAAATCCTTCAAGCGTTTCTCGAGGGCTGATTTGTCTGCTTGAAGCTTCTGCGTGCTGTCTCTGGCCACATCGAGCTGTTCCAGCAATTCACGAGTTTGAACCTAAAACGAGATCTATGGATCCAATTCAAACGTGTACCTCAAGCAAGTTCTTAGTCGACTCGAAAGTAGATGCTTTCTTCTGCTCCTTGTCGAGCAGCGCTGCCAGTTGAGTGAGTTCGTCTTCCAACTCCATTTTCCGCTTGACCATGACAGCACGTTCTTCATCTGCTTCGGCACGCTCCGCCGTCTCCTCCTCTAGCTGCTGCTCCAATCGGACGCGGGTCTCGCCCAACTAAAAAACGTCATAAGCGAAGGGAAAATATAACACACGTCTTCGATCTTTTTGCCATACTCTTCGATGAAGAGTTCGCTTCGCCGAAGCTTTTCACGCATCACCACAAGCTCTTGCTCCTTCTCGGCCAGGACCTCTTCGCTGTTGGTAATTTGGACGAGTGGTTTGACCTGAAAAGGTTGTAGAATAAATCTCGAAAGCTGTAAGACCTTGTTCAAGAGCCTCCACCAATGCCAATTGCGTAGCTTCATCCAAACCAGACCGTTACGCTGAATGATACTCAGTGCATTGGCCTGATCCTTGCGACGGCAGTATTCTCGACGAGCGAGCACACCACGACAACGCGCCTGAATAAAATAAAGGATAATCGTATGAATCAAAAAAACCTGGAAGGCGATGATGAGGGAAGTGACCGCTTGATCACGGATCTCTTCCAAAAGCGCGAGCTGACCGGCCTTACAAAAGACTTTCGTCTGGCCTATCACAGCTTGATCCATGCCGAGATGATCAATCATGCGCCTACAAAGCATGTAACTAACAGGAAAGGAAAATATACCTGCAAGCTTCCTTCCCATCCATGAATCCCTTCGGGATCAGCCCGCGGCACAGGATATGTTCGTACCGTTGACGGAATTCTTGAAACGGGACACGGCTCGGATAACCCTGACGAGCAATACGGATCCCCTCAAGTACACCGTTGCAGCGTAGCTGTTCGAGGACAAGCGGAGAATGTATCTTGCCAGCCTAAAACCAATGCAAGCCTTCATCACGAACCGACCTTCTTTTCATAGTTAGGAATGATGCAGCGCACAAAATGCGGGTTGGTGTTCTCCAACGTCGACATCAAACGGGACAATTGTTCTTTGTAGAGCTGACACTGGGTCCGGAACATGCCCTTCTTGGCTCGTCCACCGAAAATCGAGTCGCTGGCCTCCGCTGACCCCAATGAGGCGAATTCAGCTGAAAAACGAGAATAGACGCTACGCTTAAATAATACCATGCTTCCACATGTCGGCGACGAATTGATCGGAGCTGCGCTGCAAAATATCCACGACATTTTCATTCAACGGATCCATGTTCTTCGTGCGCCATTCTTTGGCCGAATAATCAACACGCCCGGCATAGTGAAGGATCGAGAAGTCGTTTCTACAAGAAAGCTTTTTCTTTCTTCAATCAGTCAGACCTTGATTTGGCATCAGGGACATCAAATTTAATGTGCTGTTGGTGCTCCTTGATCAGCTTGTCAACAAACGCACGGTCATCGGCCTTGGGGAATAGGCAAGTCTCATCGAGAAGAGCCATCACGCCCATGTTCTTAAAAAAAGTCATATTTCGATAAAAATGTTACCTTATCAATAAGGTCGATCGTCGGCTGTAGGTCCAGGCCAAAATCGACAAATTCCCAGGCCACGTTCTCGCGTTTGTATTCCTCTTGCTCTTGAACGAACATGTGATGATTGAACAATTGCTGCAGCTTTTCGTTGCAGTAATTGATGCAGAGCTGCTCGAAGCTGTTGTTCTCGAAGATTTCAAATCTATACGAGTCGTGATCAATTAGCAGCAAAGGTTGTTACCCGGCAATGTCAAGAATCCCGATGAAGGAGACGGCATTCTGTCTGGTGCGGTCGAGAGAACGGTTGAGCCGGTTGACGAGCCTGGAAAGGCGATATAATTAAATTGAATTTACAAACCAGCGGAAAAGACGTTCGTAACAAGCCTTGGCAATAGCCTCTGCAGTGTAGTGGGCTTGCTCGGCGGTCTGCGCACGGACGACTTGTTCACGGCCCACCTAAGAAATTGAAGGAATAATAGGAAGGTTCACCTTGAGCTTTGGTTTCACGAAGGCCTTGGTGAACTCGGCAATCGGCAATCCAAGAAGTTTGCAAATCTTCTGCGCCACTTTGTCGTCTGTTAACATAGCTTGTTCGGCATTGTCTTGGGAGAATTGCAGATTTCCGAAGAGCAAGACGGCAGAGATCACGCGGAAGATCGACTTGACTTCGTCATCGGACAAGCCCATGATTTGGAAGGCGGCTAGTAGACCCTTGAACTCCTCCTTGTCGTTGACGTTTTGAATTGACAAATCGCCATGTGACAAGAATTTGTAGTTCTTCGGCGATGGCTCGAGTAGTAACTCCTCTAAACCGAATTTTTAGTTTATAATATGAAAACGAACCGGCAAGATTCGCGTCGGCGCCTTTGATCAACTGATAGAAGATGTGGAATGAGCGCTCATTGGCGGCCTGGCGGATGACACGAGACTTCTCCAAGAGGTAGAATTCGATGTTCGCCCCGGAGATCAGACCATATGTATCGAAATGCGTCTTGATGAATTTGCCCTAAGAGCAATATCATAAATGAAATGGTTGAGTAGCGTACGAATCGAGAGCTGTTGTCGTTTTTGACGGTCTTGCTGTTGCCGAAAGCCTCCAGAATGGGGTTTGCTTGCAAGAGCTGCTCTTCGAGGTTTGCCTGAAATTTTTTTAGATAGTAAAGCAATTTCATACGAAGTTTCGAGCGCTGGTGTTGAGGGAAGAAACGCTTCCTGGTTTGCCTCCCGTGAAACGATGCCCAGCGATTGAGGTCAAATACTGGATCACCTTCTTCGTATTTTCCGTCTTTCCGGCACCAGATTCGCCACTAAATCAACATATCCGCAAAAAAAACTCAACAGACGTGCACAAGATGCTTTGATCCTCCTTGTCGCTTAGCATGTTACGGTAGGCCGCATCAGCAACCGCATAAATATGTGGAGGGGCGTCGCGGCGTTTCTAAAAAGACTTTCGAAGAATGCCTGAAATATATACCTTTCCCTTGAACTTTTCCACGATCGCGTCCGTGTAAATGGGCAGATTTTTGTACGGATTGATCACGACGCAAAACATCCCGGAGTAGGTCTGAATAAATAATTACATCGAAAAATAGTTATAATCCTTACATAGATGAGATTCGAGTAGTAGCGCTGCTTGAGATTGTAGAGAATCCCAGCCTCGTTCAGCATCGTCAAGTTGGCCATGTCTTCGGTCTTTTCAAACTTGGGCGGGTTGGCCTTTTGAATGTCGTACTTCGTGACGATCACCTCCTTCCCAGACTCCTGGATGCGCAGGCGGAGACGCTCTAAAAACAAAGATCTGAAATTTTGATAATCCTCACCATCGGATAGCTCCTCAACGGTGCTGGCCAGAACGTAGCCTTCGTGTTCGCTGGCGAGCCATACAAACTTCTTGTCCGCCCAATCGGCCTGCATCTCCGGATCGTTTAGTCGGCTTGTTGGGGCCCGTAGGGCGGCAAGTTTTTCATCACCACCCATCGTACGAGCCTAAAAATTGCGTGTGCTCAATAAATGAAGATAGAGCTCGAGAGCGTCAACGAATATAAGTAAACACTCGTACAAAAAAAAAGAAAATAGTCCTAGCGCCGGGAGAGGTGAGCTGGTAGCAAATTTACCCTACGACTTGCAATTGCCTGCCACGCTTCCACAAGGACCACCTGCATAGGTTAACTTCGCCTTCGAAAGACGCCCCCTTACAGGAAGGAACACACCTCTCCAGAGAGAAGAATCAGAAAGCGGATGGTACAAATCATGTTAATGTCATAAGGTACTTTTCAAACATATTACCCGTGCGCGGTTCAGTGCCTTCTACCTATAAACATAGAACTCAAATAAATAGTCTAGATTTGTAATTTAAAGTTGGAGCAACCGTAAAACACCATGGCAAAAGTGTTTTCACGCCTCTAGTAGTTAACGCACCCTGTTTAACCAGTAGAAAGTTCAAACAACGAAAGACGCTAGTCGTCTAATGTCTCCCCAAAATCAGTTAACACGTACAGTATAGTGAGCATTCACAATGATGGTAAGCAACCTAGATATTCAAAGCCATAGATGTTCTAGTACCCTAAACGACAGAATAGAAGGTTCATTACGTCGGTTTGCCCTCAGAAATCTGGTCCAAGTCCAGTCCAACGAAAGGTAAAACTAAAAAAGTGGCCAGGAACAGAAAATCGCCCCGGCGAGAAAATTCCAAAAAATGACCGAAATTCGCCGTCATTCTGTTCACAACATCGACGAGATTCGTAAACGTACTGCCTCGGAACACCGTAACAGCGAAAACCCACCGTATCAGTGCCCTTCAGTGCTCTTCGTATTCCAAATTAAAACGTGGATCTCTTGACAGGTTTCTTCGCGAAATTCGGGATTGCGAATATTATAGTTCTAACTTTTTGTTAATTTTTATATAGTTTCCGTTGATTATTGCCAAATCGTTGGTATTTCAGGTGGTCAACATGCACAGTGGCCAACAGATTTGAATTGAGCGCCAAAAATTTGCCTGCTGCTTTCCCCACCTCAACCGCTGCAATCCCACGAGTTTACCTGAAGCCTCGTCCTCTTGTTGCTGGTAGGTTTTGACTTTTCGCTATTGCTGATTCCCGATACCTTTAGACCTAAATCTTCTGGTATTCAAAAACGGCGAAATGATGCTTTTCTGCACCATTTTCCCCTTTGAACACTATATTTAGGCACTAAGTGCGGCTTATTTCTTTCGAAACTTTCGTAACGTCTTGCGCTATTAGCGTCCGCTGATTCGCGAATTGCCTTTGCTTTACCATTTTCCGCTTTCTGTCCCTCGAATTCTGGGATTTCCGTAATGGCCCCTTGTGAAATTGCCGCAATTGCTTGGCAACCAACTCTCCATAGTTACTCTGGCCTTCAAATGCTTAATCCCGCGGTGTCCCTACCCTGGTCACCCTTATCACGCTTCATTCCATTTTGATTGAAACTTGCCCATAGTCATACACTCTTATCAGAACCCCACTGTGGTCAGTAAATCTTTATTGTGCAACACGGCCCCGTTGTACCGCCTTTTCGGCAGTCAGAGACGCAGCGGCAGAGCGCGCCTCCTTTTTCCCCTCGAACTGGCTCACCTAGGGTTTTTCGATCTTTTTACGCCTAGAATTGTGTATATCCTCTTCTTTTCCAGATGGGCACCGAATTCGATCAGGAACAAAACCGGCATGAAGTCCCACTCCTTTTACAGCTTCGGGGCCAGCTATACGATGTCGCTAAATTTGCGAAGAAACACCCTGGTGGTGAAAAGGTGATTTAGTCTGGTGCCTGAAAATACACATTTCCTAGGTTTTGCGCAAGCTGGCTGGCGGGGATGTTGACGCCTTTATGAGGGGCGAGCAACGAATACTTGGTGTCAAGCATGAACACTCAGCGGCTGCCTACGCTATGCTGGAACGTTATAATGTCGAACACTTGCAAAAGGCAATTTCTGATAATATGGCTTTATATTCGGTCTTTTTCAGAACGACCCGTATTTGGATGAAAAACGAGGAGTACTAGGCCGTATAGGCAACTTGGGGGCCGATTACTGGACATGGATCCATCAGCCTTACGAAGGAACGATCAGGTTTCCTTTCTCGCATAGCGGTTTTATTGAAATTTTTAGGCTCTTTGACTCGGATTTTTTGGAAAGGCTCACGCGTACCGCTTGGTGGGTGGTCCCATTGGTCTGGATGCCGCTCGTTGTTTTGTTTAGCGCCCTAGGAATTACCGAATTACACCAAAATCACGGTTTGTCTTTAGACCTCGACAGTATGTTTTTTTGCAGGCGCTTTTGTTGCTTCGGTTGTCTGGGGTGTCCTCTTTTCGATTGGAGTGTTAACCTGGACTTTGGTAGAATACCTCCTTCACCGATATGTTTTCCACTGGCACCCAGATACTTCGTCACAGACACAAATTGTTCTCCATTTTCTAATTCATGGTAGGTATCCTGCTATTCGCTTTTTCTTGATTTTCTCGAGGATTGGCTAAAATATTGGTGATTTTGCAGGGCTACATCATAAAACCCCCATGGATGGAGACCGGCTTGTGTTTCCCCCGACCCCTGCGCTCTTCATTATTATTTTCTTCGCATCGATTTATGTGTCCATTCTCCCCTGGTACGTTGCTCCTTGCTTGCGCTTTTTACTGGAATTTAGGGCCGCGTTCTGTTGTTTTGGTGCCGGAAAGTTGTGCGGATACGTGATGTACGATTGTACGCACTACTACCTTCACCATGGATCACCCAAACCCGGATCTGATATGCACTACAAGAAAGTCTATCATCACAATCACCACTTCAAAAACTATGACGTTGGTAAGTGCCTCTACCCTTTACCCAACCTTTTTGCAGCTTTTGGGATTTCGACGCAAATATGGGATCATGTATTTGCGACGGTTGGGCTGGGCCCGCTATAATTTATCTGCTGCATTTGTTGTTCGGTTTTAGATCTGATTTTTGCTCCATTTTCCCCTTGTGATATCACGGCCAGCCTACGCCAAAAAACCTTGTGATGCATTTCCTCTGTGCAATATGTGTGAATAATCTTGTTTTTGAATAATAATAAAAAAGGTGTTTACTGTTGCTACTTTGAGCCTTGGTTTTATAAACCACTATTTACCTTGATCAAAGTACTTGAACAAGAGTCGCTGGTGGAATGATTGATTAGTCGATAACGCTGTTTCAGCGACGAACTCCACCGCCTTTTTGGTCAAATGCTTCTCCGCTACTTCCTGAACGAGAAGGGTGAACGCGTCTACACTCTCAAGGTTTCTTAGCTTTTGTATCTTCATAAATTCCATTTAGAAGACCTCCCCAGAAGGTGCCCAGACCCATTCGGCTCATCCTGCTAAGTTTTCGCCGGAAGATAAGTACAGGTATACAAAATTCGTGTTTTCTCTCAAACGTAATTTAGCCAATACCGCGTGATTGTCAAGAAGCGCTTCCATCTTCTCCCATCTCAACAAGCAAAAATCGTTTATTGAGGTATTGGTCTTCATTTTACGCTCACACTTTTTTATAGTCGACGAAATGCCGATTTTTTGGGAATGGCGTCGGATCTTCCGCCAAACCCTACGTTCCTTCACCCCCGCACAAAATAAGCTTTCCTATCAACAGGTTGGTGTTCCATATTTATTTTAAACAATAGTTTTTAGTGGAGCAAGCGTCGTCTGATGATTTCCTTTGTTTTCTTTTTCGTTGGCTGGAAACTTCTTGGCTACACTCTCTCTGAAATGGGCTTCTACGTTATCGATGAGCAAACTGGAAAGGTAGCCATACAGCTAGTTGAAATATTTCTCATTTTTAGGGTCATTATCGGACTCCTGGCGAAGCTCGTAAAGCACGAGAGAAGCTCGAGCTTGAACATGATCCCCGCCTACAGAGACCAGTCATCGTAAAAAATTATCCCCTCGACGCTTAGCCCCATCCCTCACCCCCCTCCCCCACTGTTGTTTCCTTGCCTAGGCCTTTCCCACGTTGTGAGAATTTCGCGAGCTATAGGACGTTGTTTGTTATTCGTTGTTACTGAATAAAGGTGGTATACAATTTGCTAAATTACATTTACGTCAGCACACCGTTTTCCGCTATTATCGAGTTTGCCAGAGCCTGCAAAATTAGTGGAAGGAAGTTTTTCAGGTTTTATGCCTGCCCCGGGTTTTGTGGATTTCTCATTCTCGGTCGGTGAACGCAAAATCCAATTTTTCCGAAGCAGCCACGATAATCTAGACGTTTTTGTGAGTACTCTCCTGAGGCTTTAACCTGGTTTCATCAGATAATTACGGAGCTCGGGAAAGTTGGCCACATCATCGAGGTACTTTTCCCCGAGGAACTTATCAACGAACGACTTGCTGGGCGTGCGGTTAGCTTATTATCTAGCTTATTGAAGTTTTAATATTACATCTCAGAAAATTGAATTCGACTCTCGTCTACTTCTCGGCACGGACAACGTATGGACGGTCTTCTCTCATATATTTTGGTTTTTCAGGCTCCGGCTGATCTCTTTGTTCGAAGACTTGTCTATCAACTTGACGCTTTGAAGCAACGGAGACGCAGATTGCTTGTGAGTATCCAGATCCTCTTGCTGCAAAACCAGCTGGTGCTAGATTTATGTCCAATTTAGGTTTGCTTCGGCTTTGACGAGAATGACCTCACTATCGAAACTATGCAAGCGGCCCTACAGCAGCTGGAAAGCGGCCTCTCGCATTAGGTATCATTAGCCCTGGCCATTGTGATCTATTTTTTTATTTAGCGGCTCAAAATTCTACTCCAGCAACAGTGCAGCCGAGGAGCCGAAGCGAAAGAAGAACGAGCACAATATTTTTCAAATTAAAGTAACTTCATACTTGTTTCTGAAATAAATTTTGCTCAGACAAACTTTGCCCATGGAGCCAAATTCAAGACGAATCGATCTTATTTGGATCAACAGCTAGCGATTGCCGGGCAGCTGGAACAACTTTACAATTGGCAGCGATCGGCGAGGAAGGGGAGTGATGGGTAAAAACACACACCTTTTTATGCATCTGATTCATTAGGTTTGAGCTGCTCGACGGGCCTCCATACGCCAACGGTTCAGTGCATGTTGGCCATGCAATTAATAAAATCTTGAAGGATTTTATCGTGAAAAGCCAGTTGGCGCTAGGTATCTTGGAGAGTGAAATGAACACAGCCTCTAGGCAAGCGTGTATCTTTCCGGCCGGGTTGGGACTGCCATGGACTCCCGATTGAGTTGAAAATTCGGAAAAGCGTGCAGGTAATTTGCGGGAAGCGTTTTCATGGATTTCCTTTAGGGAAAGTCGGACCTTGAGATCAGACAGCTTGCGCGTGAAGTCGCCGAAGAGGCAATTGGGAAGCAGAAAAACTCATTTATGTGAGTCGCTCATCTTGGAAATTGTACAGATTTAAGGCGTTGGGGTGTGACTGGCGACTGGGAGAACCCCTATCTGACAATGTCACCAGAGTATGTGTCTGAGCAGTTGCGGCTTTTCGGAGCTCTCTTGGAGAAGGGGCTCGTCTACCGTAGTGTGATGCCGGTTCATTGGTATTTTTTTGTAATCTGATTTTTTGATACTCCTCTTCTCCTTCAGGTCGCCAAGCTCTCAAAGCGCTTTAGCCGAGTCTGAATTGGAGTATAATACGGCGCACAAAAGCATATCATGCTACTTTCGATTCAAGGTTAGTATTTGAAATTTTGGAGCTCTTAAGGTTTAGGGGGGCCACTTGTGTTAGGACGATTTTGAGGCTTATGTATCCGAGGGCTAGCTTGTCACCTAAGCGAGTAGTACTTGTGCGTAGCTTTAACGGAGGCGAACCCTAAAGCTTTAACTTAGCTTTATTTAGCTTTAATTTGCCCTAAAGGCTCGAAAAACAGTGTTTTGAGAGCTCAGCTTGTAGCGAGATTTGACATCGCCTAGGCTTAGCTAAACTTAATGTTAAGCTAGCTATATGGCTAGGCTATTTATGGGGTTTATATCTAGCCCTCTGGTAGGCCAAGTGACAGTCTTGACAGTCTGTATGACCCTTTTATGAAAGTGCCCCCCGAACCTTCGAGCTCCGAAATTTTTTTGCACGATGTTTTTAGATGATATCCGAGATTCCAAAGACGAACTTGGAGCTCGTGCATCCCGATAGACCAGTCGTGGTTTATGCGCTGGTTTGGACGACAACACCTTGGACACTTCCACTAAACGATGTTATTTCCGTGAATGAGAACGTCGAGTATGCGCTCGTTCAGTTCGATTCGGAGAAAAAGTCAGTGATTTTACATTGATCAACTGAAGCTTTTAGGCAGCCAATCAATGAGCTCTATCTTGTGGCGAAGGACAACGTCGCCAAGGTGGCCACGATTTTGGGCAAAAAGGTAGATTACATCGTCGTGAAGTTGACAAATATTTTCAGGTAAATATTGTTGGAACCGTGGCGGGATCGTCATTGGCCGGTTTATTTTATCAAAGTTGCTGGTGAGGATAGCTTTGTTGGATAAAAATTCTCCTAATTTAGGCATAACGTGTTGGCGCTGCCAATTTTCTCGGCTCCTCATGTGACACTCGGAAAGGGCACAGGATTGGTGCACACGGCTTTCGCCCATGGGGCTGAAGATTATCAGGTCTTGTTCCAATGATTTCGTCTAAAAATCGCTTCAGTTGGCCTTAAAAAATGGAAAGGAGGTGCGCTGTTTTGTCGATGATAAAGGGCGATATACACGCGATATGGGCCACGATCTCGAGGGGAAGGTCGGTTTTCAGGAGGAAATGCATTTTTTAATTTAGGAGGTGTTGAGTGATGGGCAGTCTCTCGTGATGCAGCTGCTGAAGAAGGACATTGTCCGTGCTCATCCATTTGAGCATTCCTACCCCTACGACTGGCGCACGAAAAAGGTTGGCAATGTTCTGAACTTTACAGACACGGTTTCCGGACGAATCGTTTCATTGTCCTTTTTTGTAGCCGGTTATAACTCGAGCCACTGCCCAATGGTTCGTCGACATGACGGAGGTCGGCCCGAAAGCCATTCAGATGCTCAAGGATGGGACGGCCAGGGTCGGGCTTGGGGCTCAAGGTAAAAATTGGCAATATTTTCATTCCAGTTTCTCAGACCAATCGGAGGAACTGCGGACAATGTTGGCAGGCCGGAAGGCATGGTGCATTTCGCGACAACGGGTCTGGGGCGTGCCTATTCCGGCACTTATCGACGACAAAGGTAGTGCTTTTTAATTTTCCTTAATAGCTAGAATTCCATTATCGTTAATTCTTAATTTTTAATTTAGGTGATGTTCACTCGTCGAAAGCGCTATGCGAGCGGCTGGCCGATTTGACACTCAGCAAGGGCACTGATGCCTGGTGGACTACTAGCGTTGAAGAACTACTCACCGATAATGTCAGTTTCGCTTCTATTCATACGCTTTTCTTATTTTTTAGGTAATTGCTTCGCTACCTCCGGGATTGGATGTCAAAACCCTTAAAAAACAATTCAACGTGATGGATGTCTGGATGGACAGCGGATTGGCATGGCATTGTGCACGGTCAAAATATGCAGGTAATACTTGCTCGAATTTGAGGCAATTGGTCAAATTTTGTAGACGTAGATCTCGAGAGTCCGGTGGATCTCGTGCTAGAAGGTGTCGATCAATCGCGCGGCTGGTTCAACTCCATGATGTTGACCGGAACGGCACTGAAAGTAGCTGTACATCGTCTTTCTTGAAAAAATTTTCTAGAATACACCACCATTTCGCTCGGCCCTCCTGCACGGTTTTTGTCTAGATGAGGATTCGAAAAAGATGAGCAAATCGTTGGGAAATGTCGTTGATCCCGATCGGGTGGGTTACGGTAGTTAGCGATTCTTGCGAGCAGTTTTGTGTTTTTTTTTCGGTATAATATTAGTCGTTTCCAGGTAACTGATGGTACTCTACATCAAAAAGCCCTTGGCGCTGACGGGTTGCGCTTGTGGGTGGCGCTAAACGGAGCCGAGGGGTCACAGTCTGCCAGAATTGGGCCCACCATTTTGAATGTCGTCGACCAAAAGGTAATTTTTTTGTAGGTTTCTGCCTTTCCATATTTCTCGCTTGTAATCCTATAGCCCTGTGGAATAAACCACGTATTCCGACTCAGCTCGTAAAAATATCACGTTTTTAAAGCAAAAACCAAAAAGGTCAGGTCCCGGGGAGATTTGAACTCCCGTCGCAGGATTCAGAGTCCTGAGTGCTAACCGCTACACCACGGGACCGCACGTTCCGCGTCCTCGCCCCGGCGCTATGTGTTGGCTGGTGTGATGGACGGGCGCGGCGAAGCCGGCCTGCGTCCACACACGCGGACGCAATGTTTGCCCATTCGGCGCTACAGAATTTTTGCAGATCAACAATTTGCGGAAAACGTTCTACTTTCTTCTTGGAGCCCTCGATGGCTATGATGGGCAGGCGCCGAAAGAGCTGCCGTTGCTTGATCAGGTCAGTGAAATGGGTACTGGACTGTTGGCGTGGGCGTCAACCTAAATTTGTCTTTCAGGCAGCTTCATAATAAGAAAAGATATTTTGTAGGCTTTTACGCTATTCCTGACTATAGAAAGCGGAAAAATTAATCAAGTCTCAAAATTCTCAAAACGTCTCAAAATTAATGAAAATTACCGAAATTTTGACATTTTTACGCCCCGATAGCAATAGTTTCGGTAAATTTTTCAAATTAGTTTATGAGCTTAATTTTCAGATTGTCCTCTACAAAGTGGACCAACTTCTTGGGGATGCGATCAAATACTATGAGAGCCATCGCTTCAAGTCTCTTGCGTTGGCGCTGCTCGCCTTTGCTCAAGATGATGTCAGTCGCGGATATGTGGTAGATTCATTCTTATTGGGTAAATCATATATTTTAGCATTACGTCCACGATCGTCTCTACACAGCGGCCGTGGGCAGTGACGGACACGTCGCGGCACGCTATACGGTTGACAAGGTGAAGCTCTATTTCCGGCTGTTGACGCAAACTTTTGCAGCTGCTCGCCATTCTCACCCAAATCATGGCCCCGTTGCTGCCCCATTTGGCCATCGAGGTCGCTACACATCATCCAGGTGTCGATCCAGCTCAGGTTCACACCATTGATTTTCATGAATTTTGTTTTAGGTTTTGCGCAATGAACTGAAGAAAGCGCCGTTGGGGACGGAGAATGGGGGCGTGAAGCTTGACCCAGAGCTGCTCCAGATTATGGACATGACTGCCCGACTGCGCCAAGAGATTGGTCGTCTCGCCGGCGAAGAGTTTTCGAAAGCGGTTTGTGGATTTTTCTGGCGTTTCCTTCACTTTTCTACGGGGAATCGAATTTTCCTATTACGACAGATTTTTGTTTGTGACTTTTTTACCTAATAAAGCTCCCCCACCGATAATGCGAAAGCGCCTCGATTCCTAACCTATGCCTAACCTATAGGGCGTGAAGTTGGCTGCCCCTGCCGAGCAACTCGAGCTGTTGAAAGAGCTGAATGGCGGCTCGAACAGCGTGCACTCCCAGCTGACCGAGTTGCTTGGAGTTTCACAGGTTTGTGGTTTCGGTCTGATTCGAAAACTATTGTTTTGCAGATCATCATCGACCCATCGCCCGGTGAAGATCTCCGCGCGACACTAATGACACCCGAGGGCAAGCACTGCGTCCGATGCCGCCGGATGCGAAAGTTGCAAGAATCGGCCCGCTATTGCTCTTCTTGTACTGAGTCTCTCTCCCAAATGACCCTCCTGTGATTCTCCAGATTAGGTAGTGACTAGAATTGTTTTGTAGTGTCTGGTGTTATTTATTTGTTTGCCTTTCTGAAAATACAATTTTATTTCAACCCATTTATTCAGTGGAAATGTTCAACAGAGGGGATGCGCGAAATCGTTGCCTTACTTTAAAATCGTGAGATCGCCGTAATAACATAAATAACGAGAGAGGATCGGGGGGACTGGGAAACATGGAGATGAAGCCGGAATTTACAGCGACTTGGTGCTCGCTAAGGGGGTGGGGGGAGGATGAGGGGAAATGGTGGTGGCAGTGGCGTCTGGGTGAGCGTCTCGGCCATGTCTCGAATCACTCGGATTTCTCGTCCCCATCGGAGCCGACGGCGCCGTCTTCGCCACCAGATGAGGCGGGCTCCTCGCTCTCAAAATGGGAGAGTTTTATGCGTTTTTGTTATTAAAGTATATTTATGTATTTAGGTAAGATTGTACCTGCTCGGCCTGGTCCTCGCTGTCCTCCTCGGCGTGGGTGGGCTCGGGCTTGGAGGCGGGGGCGGACTTACGGGATTGGCTGCAAGTTTTTATATTTTTTCAGGTTTTTCCGGGTATTTTTTCGCCCTTAATTATGCTTCCTAGATATCCTCGATTACCGAAAAAGTTAGCAGTTTTAGAGTTAGGTTTTTTCCGCAATTTCCCCCACCCACCTAGTCACTAACTTCTTGGGGGCGTCCTTCTTCGGGGGTCGGCCGCGTCCGCGCTTGCCGGCGGCAGCCGGGGCGGGCTTCTCCTTCTTCTCGATGGTCTTCGTGGCCTAGAAATAATTTGATTGATCGGAAGAGAGGAGTGCGACTCACCTTGGCCACGGCGGCCACCTCCTTCTTCGGGCGTCCGGTCGACTTGCCCTTGGCTCCGCGCTTTCCCTTCTTGGCTGGCATTCTGAAGACGTTCAGGGTTTAGTTTAGAGAGTTGTGAGAAACAATACAAGATCAAAAAAAAGTATAAAAATTATAAACAATTTTAAAGCTTAGGTAAAGAAATCAAAGACCCAAGCGTTGAGGGGCCAAATAAATAGAAGGGTTGGCTGTATGGTGGGTGTGCTAGGTGCCCTTTGGGGGCGATGCGAGGCCGGGGTGGGGCCCGGATCGATGGGGAACGGGGAGAAGAAGAAGTATTTTTTTGGACCGCAACGGAGAGCAGGGTGCGAGCGACTAGGTGGGGTGGAAGGGGCCAGGCAGGCAGCCAGGGGGGGCTCGGCTCGAAACTGTCCCTCAAACAACCCCTCCCATTGCCCCCACCTTTAGCCTCCATGATCTCTCTCTCTCTCTCTCTCTCTCTCTCTCTCACCCATCGATCCATCCATCCACCGTATTCGACAGTCTACGATGTGCCCGGATTAGAGAGAGCGTCTACCGGATCCCGTCATATCCCAATTGGTACATTCGGCCCCTGGGGACCAAATCATACCCGGGGCCCTTGTGGTGCTACAGTAGACCTGGAGACTACTACATAATCGGAGAATTGAAAAATGATGAAATACAGTAAGACGCCGAACCTATAAAAATTTTATTAACCCTTGAATTTTACAAAATTTAATACAGAATTTTTAAAAATCGATTTTTCCACCAGAAATTCTCTTTCCGGAACTTAAATTTTTGTCATAAAATTCGTCACTTTTTTGTTTATCGATTTTCCTGACCGAACAATACAAAAGTTTACAAGTTTTTTCAACAATTCATACAAAAATTATAAATATCGATTTTTTAAGGCAAATTCCACATTTTCCGAAACTTCGAAATTTTTGGATTATCGATTTTCTGAGCAAAAATCATCAAATTCTTTTAAATTTTTGTGAGATCGTGGTCTACAAGTCTGCGGCTGAAGGACAAAATTTCCTATAATTCTAGGTTTACTGAACAGCTTGATCTTGATGGCCAACAGCGAGAAGCTCCCAAGAGATCCTGTTGGAGATCTGCCAAATTCGCTGAACTCTAGCTATCTTATCGTTGGCAGGCCCGCCCCAACGCTGGAAATAAAATGCAGAAAACGAGGCAAAAAACCAGGGGATGTGAGACAAACATCAATAGTCTAGCCGCTAGCAAGTAGCCGCTCGCCCCAGTCCCCCGGAAATGCGCGTGCATTTTGTTTGCAAGGGCTGTCGAGCCAGAGTAAGAGAGAGCGAGAGCGAGAGCGAGAGCGAGAGAGAGAGAGAGAGAGAGAGAGAGAGAGATCCCCGAGGTCATCGTCGTGCTGTCGGTGGGTAGTTGTGGTTTTGAGCGTATAAAAAGTGGGTTAGTCCCGTGGGGCGGTGTTTCTCGACTTGCGCGCCCTAAAAGATTGGTGTTCTTTTTGGAGGTCCATCGCTGGTTTGGGGCGATAAGCGTTGTATACTCGGGCATTGAGGGGGTGTGAGGAGTGTCCTTCAGGGGGTCATGGCAACGGTCAGCCAGGGTTCAGCTTTGCCTAGACTCTACTGCCGGAAATCGATCGATAAAGCGTCTCGAATTATGGGATGGGAAGGCTCGCGAGAAACAGAAAATGCAGAACATGCAACAAAGGAGAATAAAAAAATCAAGATGGATAAAAACAACAGAAAAAAAATCAAGATTATATAAACGTTGGTTCTAGTTCATTAGCGGGGGGAGCTAATTTCTTTATTCAGCCTAACCTACTTGGTAACAAAAAAAGTACGTGAAGTTACAAAACTTCCCTAAAAAATTAAAATTTTTTAATTATCATAATTTTAATAGCTTGTTACATCTGAAAAGCAACGTAAAATTGTATTCAAAGGAACTCTATTTCCTTAGAGCCCAGAAAAAAAAGAGTCCCCGTCAATGAACCAGCTCCAAAAAGTCTTCAATTTGAATAAAGCTAATTAAATTTTTTAAAACAAAAATTAGCCTCCGTTCGAAAGTATAAAAGGAAATAGGGAAACAGTTGGCGTGATTCTACACCTTCGAGCCAGACCTCACCGGCTGCACGGCTATGCGTACGGTTCTTCATGCCTTTAATTTTATTTTATCTGGAGTTCAGCCCTAGGCTTTCGCCAATAGTAGCCAAGTTTTATCAACAATTTCCTGATTCTTTCTAGCTATCCTTTTGCAGCTCCGCAAACGAAGCGGAAGGTGAACGCCCCCGCCGGCTCGGCCGACAAGAAGAAGTCACCGGCAAAGAGCAAATCGAAGGAGAAGGAGAAGGAGACGAAAGATTCGAAGGAGGGCCCACGGGGCAAAGATTCAAAGGATGCTGATAAACGATCAAAGGAGGCCACAGCCACACCCTCGAAGGAAATGACTCAAGATAGCTTGATCCAAGAAGCCCCTAAATCTGCGCCATACCCGAAGAGTCTCCTCCTGCGCACGAAGAGTACCCTCGATCCGGCGAAGCGTGAGAATGCGAAGCTCGTGCTCAACTTTGTCGAAAGCACCCTGAAGAAGGGATTTCAGACAGTGCGTGGCGAATTTGCCAAACACAAAAGGTCTGTGGTATTTTTTTATGCTTGCCGTTTAACCAATCTTCCGATTCCGTAAGGCACTATAATGAAACATACACCATTTTTACTGTATTTTAAGCTGAAATAGGACATAAAAACCTTAAAATATTCCGAAAATTATGACTTTTTGGTCAAAATTGATGAAAAATGACAACAAAGAGCAAAATTTCAATTTTTATGGTTTTCCGGCACTGAAAACCCCGCAAAAGCCATGAAAATGCCTTATATATTATGAACAAGTAATATATGATGTCGATGGGAAACGCAGAAATTAGTTTCCGCGTTAGCTATCCCCCCGCTAACAGTCCATTACCAATTTCACTATATTTTAAAGGGCTGCCGACGGCATGTGTCGATCCCCCCTCATCAACAAATTGGCAAGTAGCCAACAGGGCAGAGAGCGCGCCCAGGGGAGAGGCGCAGAGACATTTTCTTTTCCGCGCGTAACCGATTGTCTATGCCGTCGGCATCCCTTTAAGCGGAAAACTATCTAAAAATACTTGAAATAGTGTAAGTAAGTTTTTAATAGTGTTTTTCCATACTTTAACGATATTTCAAGTTTAAAAACTATCTAAAAACTCTTATGAAACCGAGATTTTGGTCGAAATCGGCCATTTCCGCGAAAAAATCTACATTTTTGTATTTTCTCAAAAATGCGTCGAGTTTAGGTTTAGAAAGAGTAAAAAAACATCGGGCAAGCAACTTTACAGGGCCCTCGACAAGAGCAAGATGCTGGTTTTTGCGCAGAATCCGACGAAGAACCGCTACCGAGACGTGGGCTGCTACGATAATTGTCGTGTGATCCTGCTGAACAATGGCCCCAGCGACTATATTCATGCCAACTATGTTTCTTCGCCCAAGAGCAAGAAACGCTTCATCTGCTGCCAGGCCCCGCTGCCCAGCACGCTTGCCGATCATTGGCGGTAAATTCATTTGATTTCAATATCGAAAACCGTGTTTTTGAAAATTCGGTACTTTCGCATTATCGGGGGAAGCAAATTTTGGTTAGCCCAGATACGGTAGGTGGGGGTTCGGCTGAGGGGGGACTGAACTTAAGCCAAAATTAGTTGTCTCCTGTAAAATCCCTCGCCGCTAACACCTGAGTACCGAATTCGATACTACGGAAAAAGAAGTTGATTTCCTGCCCCTGATGGCTCCTCCCCCCGATGATAAGAAAGTGCCGAGATTTCAAAAAAAATCACCTCGGCATAAAAAACAATAAAAAAAGTCAATATTATTGATAAAATTAAATTAATAAAAGGAATTGCCTCCGATTGCAGGATGCTCGTCCAAGAGAAGTCGGATGTGGTTCTGATGCTCTGCAATTTCATCGAGTCGAAAAAGGAGAAATGCGCGCATTATTTCCCGGAAAGTACGGACACCCCGATGACGTTTGGCCCATTTACGGTGAAGTGCGTCAACAGGGAGCAGGTAATTTGCGAACGGGATTACTTCTATAAACGGTGGCATTTAGTTGAAATTGGACTGTACGACAACGGCTGTGATTATGGTGACATCATTGGTTGTCGAGGAGAATGGTGTTCAAGTGCATAAGCTCGAACACTATCATTGGCTCGATTGGCCCGATCGTGGTGTGCCAACTGTCGATTTGGCTCCTATCAAGCTCCTCGAAAAGATCTCTCCCACACAGTTCGTTTTTAAGGATATCGGACGATAAACCCGATTTTTTTTTGTATTTTTTAAAGGGGGCAGCCAATTTTTATTTTTCCTATTGATCCAGGTTGGCCTAGTAACCGAATATAGTGTTCTTATATTGTTTTTAGCAAGTTTGAACTATTTTTAAAGTAGCAAAACTTCCAAAAAAGTTAGAAAAGCGTTTAAAAATTTGGCCATTTAGCGGCGAAAAAACTTGAGTTGACCTAAAATTAATTTTTATTTAAATGACTATAACTATAAAAATGGTTTATGACCGTAGAGGATTACTGCGGAAATGTTGGCCCCCCTGCTAACAGACCAGATCCACCTTGCCAGGCAGGATCATTATAAGCTTCCACAAAACAAACACGTTTCTTTCAGGACACCAATCGTGATCCATTGTTCTGCTGGAATCGGTCGTACTGGCGCAATCTGCCTGCTTCAATACGCCCTCGAATCGATCGCTACCGGGCAGCCGTGCGAGCAAATCGACGTGCTGATGATTAAGCTGCGCGAGCAACGTGCAAACTCGGTGCAGACCGACGCCCAATACCTCTACGTCCATCAGCTTCTCCTCCATTACTTCGAAATGGTATCGATTCTGGTACTTGGTTGTTAGCGGGGGGTGGGGGAGGCAGACAGTACTCACTACAGACAAGGTAATCCCATTAAAGTTTTACGGATAAAAAGAATCTCCAAATCCTCAGAATTCTAAAACTGTTCGAAACGTTGACTTTTTGATCAAAAAATCATGAAAAATGACCGAAAAAGGTCGAAATTTAAAAATTTCAAAACAAAACATTTTCCTAAATTTCCTAACAAGCAAAAGCATTTACAACAGATACATTTTCGCTTTCCAGGAGGGCTATTTGGACGCGTCGATCGAGAAACCGCTGCAGCAGTTCCGCGATAAGTACGAGGATTATGCCTCCAAGTTCAAGACCTGATCTTCCCCATCACTCCCTCCCTACTCCTGTTAAATTTCTCGTCTAGATGTGATGTGTTTGTTTGCAGTGATGGCTTAACGGAATTCATTGCACGGAATAAACGCTTTTTTTAATTCATATGAAGAATGCTCTGATGGCTGTATTTACCTTTTTGCGAAACGTATTGAATTCGTGAAGCTTTTCGGACAAGAGTTTGTTTAAAAAGCAAAAAGTTTCTGAATCTTTATGCCTTCTGGACTACAGCAACCTTGGGAAAACACAGTTTGGATGGCGTCGAAACCAATTCATCGACTTGATGGCAAAGGCGTTCTTTGCTTTGTTCAAAAAAAAAATGCCAAATGGAGCCGAAATTGGCTGAATCTCGAAGATCAGAGCAGATCCCCTACGAAACCATTACTTGAGTTGCCTTCGGCGGGAGTGACTTTTTGTCACGCTGTAGTTTGTGTAGTGCCCATGCCGGTAAACAGCCCTCTTTTCCAGTCTTCACCCCAGCGCGCAAAAAGCTCGAAACTATTCAGCTAACCAATACCACAAATGGACATGCGTGGCGTGGAATACGTGAAGGCAAAGATGCCAAAACTTGGATTGGGAACATGGCAGGTAAGGATAAAATTTTGTGTGCTTTACATTACTTTTTAGGTCCGCAATGAGAGCATCCCAGCAGCAGTTGATGCGGCATTGGCCTCGGGATATCGTTTTATCGACACGGCGCAGATTTATGGTATTTTTTAGACATTGTCAAATTAACCTCCCCCCCTCCTAAAACAAAAAAAAATATTTAACCCATAAAAAAAAAAAATATAACCCTAAAAAAAAAAATACCAACCCAACCAAAACAACCCCATAAAAAAAAAAAACCCCCAAAAACCCAAAAAAAATACTAACCCAAAAACCCAAAAACAAATACATAACAAAACCCAAAAAAAAATACCAACCACAAAAAAAAACCCTACAAAAAAAAAACCCCAAAAAAAAAAATATCCCCAAAAAAAAAACCCCAAAACAAAAAAAATATTAACCTAAAAAAAAAATTAACCAAAAAAAAAACCAACCAAACCCAAAAAAAAAAACCCAAAAAAACCAAAAAAAAAAACAAAAAATAAAAATATAAAAAAAAAAATAAAAAATTCCCCAAAACACAAAAAAAAAGATCAAACAAAGCCACCTCAAACACCCACAAACTCAAAAAATAAAAACCCAAAAATAAAAAAACCCCCACAAAAATAACATTTTAAAAAATTAAGGACCTAAAATAAAACATCCCAAACCCACCAACAAAATAGAGCGCACTAAACCAATCCCCACGCCCACCGCCCCCCACCCACCCACCAAATCCACACAAATACCCTCCCCACAAACCTTCAAAAACTACCTAAATACTCCTATCCAAACCCCATAAATCCCTCAAAAACACAAATACCTTCCGCAATACCCCATACCAAACCCAAAAACTACCTAAATACCTCCTGATGCTCAAACCCCCATACCAAACCCTCAAATACCAAATACCTTCCTGATCAGTACCCCCTACCGAAACCCTCAAAAACTACCTAATACCTTCCTGATCTCAATACCCCCATTAACCTTCAAAACTACTTAAATATCTATCAGATACCCCCATAGCCAAATCCCCTTCAAAAACTACCTAAATACCTTCCGATGCTTCAGATACCCCCATAAACCCCGTCAAAACTACCTAATACCTTCCCGATGGCTTTATAGACTTAATAATTTAAATAATTATTAACATAATTAAAAAGTATTAAAAAGTATAAAGTAACAAAGTATTTGGGCGGAGGGGCCTGGGAAGGTGGCAAGGGGTGCCTCCCGGAGAGGGCCCCACCTTTATTGGCGCCACTCAAAGTTAATTTAATATTTAATTAAAACTTTTTCATAATTTTTATCAGTTTGGGGTTTCCCTCTCTATCCGACCAAGCTGCTCTACTCCTTCCCCCTCGATTGAATCCGGGACATGACGGAAACGGACAGACGGAACCACAGAATTATTATAGTACATTGGCTTTTAGGTAACGAGGCAGCGATTGGAAAGGCACTGAAGGAGGCGCTACCAAAGTACAATCTCCAGCGGTATGAGCGTTTTCCGTTTTGTTTATGATATTTTATTATAGTGCCGATATTTTCATCACCTCGAAGTTGGCACCGGCAAATCAGGGGCCCGGCGCCGAGAAAGCGATTGAACAGTAGGCTTTTTGGAAGTGAAAATATGCTATATTTCATTTACAAAACCACATAACTATAGCGAAATTTTCTCATTTATCCGTTACATCGTTGAATGGTTTTGTTAGTAATGCAGTAAATGTTGCGCTGAGAAACCAACGTTTGCTCGCATAATCTATACTTTAGGAGTCTAAAGAACCTCCAAACCGACTACTTGGATCTGCTGATTATCCACTGGCCAGGCTCATCCAATCCCTCAGAATCACCAAAGAACAAGGAACTGCGAAAGCAAAGCTGGGAGACGATGGAAAAGTTTTACGGTATTCCGGGACCCGGTTTTTTATATTATTTTATAGACGAGGGCAAGCTCAAGGCGATCGGCGTCTCAAATTACACGGAACGACATTTGCAAGAGTTGCTTGGACATGCAAAGGTTCGTTATTTTAGCTGCATTGTTTGAAACAAAAATTTCCAGGTTCACCCGGCCGTCAACCAGTGTGAATATCACGTCCACTATCAAACAAACAGCCTTGTGGATTATTGCAAGAAGAACCAGATCCACTTCCAGGTATTTTCGTTTTGTAATCTCCAACTGATTTTTTAGGCTTACAGCAGTTTGGGCTCGCCAGAAGGCCGGAAGAAGCTGGCCGCTGACCCACAAGTCATCGCAATGGCCGAGAAGTATAAGATCTCCGTTCACGTGCTCCTCCTCGCGTGGGCTATCAATCAGGATATGAGGTTTGTAGTGTTTTATACGCCTCAATGGATATTTAGCGTATTGCCACGTAGTACACAGAAGGCCCATATCGAAGAGAACCTCAAGGCTGCCAGCGTGGTAACTAATAAATTTCCGGCATTTATTTTAATTTCAGAAACTCGACCCGGCTGATGTCAAATCTTTGCTGTCGGATACGGCAGACCAAAAATATTGCTGGGACCCGAATGTTGTTGCTTGAAATTTGGTACACTTTGCGAATAAATTTTCTTATACTCTTTTCTTATACAACGCAAATTAGCACTGTAGCTTCAATACCGTAGTCATGAAGGTCGGTCTCTTTTCGATACGCCGCACTACAACTAACGCCAGGGAGATGGGGTCGCGTGGGAATGGCACACAACATAAGCCCATTGAGCTGAAGCAGCTGGTGAACTTTGTCTAAACCTATATTCAACCTCAAATGTGAGAAATGAAAGGGCTACGACTCGTTTTCCTGACTTTATTCCTAGTCCAAACCCTGGCCGACAAAGCGTTTTACCGGAAAATCCAATTGTAAGCCCTGAAACAGCTGGAAAAGCTTAAAAATCTTTAGGTCAAAATGCAACCGCGGACTCGATTGTGGCCGTTACGGCGATTGTATGGATTGCACATTCCCGAAGAATTGTATATTTGGCACTAATGTTAGGGTTGGTTAAATACGCCAAAATCCAGCATTTTTCATTAGATCAACTGCACAACCGTTCCGCAATGTTTGCGGTATTCAATGTCGAGAGTCGCGAGATGCCGGTAATTTTGCTAAATATTTGCGTATCATTGTAGTGACAACGCATTTATTATCATTGTTTTTTTCAGGTTTTGCTGGCAACTCGAGCCGAGCGAGTACAGCTGCACACACACTTCGAACTGCTCGACGACCAGCGCCGAGTTGGTGCCGGTGTTGTGCTCGGTGGGTTGGAAAAAGCGTTTAATAACAAGAGATACTCCAGGCTCATCAAGATGTTCTGTGCATGGGCAATCGTCACTTTTACAAGAAGACCAGGTATGTTTTTGATAAGAGTGAGCTGCCAAAACTTTATAAAAATAAAGTTAGATTCTTATGAAAAAAACGAAAATATATCTTTCTCGCTTTTCATAAATATATCTTTAGAAATAAATATAATAAAACGGCGTCATTTAGATGCAACTGGACTTCCGGTCACAGCTGGGCGAAGGCGCTGTTCTTATCGATTACGCTGGGCGGATTTGGAGTAAGCCCTGACACATTTATACGGTGGTTAATAGTTCAGACGTTTACGTATAGTTTAATAGAATACGGATAGTTTAAAAGATGCTATAATTTAATTATTATAAAGATTCACTTATCTATTAACATACTTTTTTAGAATTAACAAGTTTTTCCGATTCAGGTAGACCGTTTCTATCTGGGCCTCTGGAAATCGGGCATCGGCAAGCTGTTCTCGTTTGGCGGGCTCGGCATTTGGACGATAATCGACATCATCTTGATCGCCGTCGGATATATACGGCCGTCTGACGGATCGCATTATGTGTAAAAATATTATTTCTCATCAAAGCCATTGTGATCAAACGGGTACTCGGCACTGGTCTGAATAAAGCTTTTTTGATTGTCTCGATAGGAAAATTAAAAACATCAAAGGATAAATGAGTTCGCGGCGCTCCTACGCACAAAAAAACTGTCCGCGGGTGGTGTAATTTTTTTCGAAGCGTTTTTGTGTTGTTTTTTGTTATAAACTCGAAAGTTTCATAGAAAAATCGAAAAACGAAATCGATCCTAGTTGGCAAAAAGTCAAAAGCCAAAACAGATGGAATCTCGAAAACTGGTCTCTTCAACCATCAGATTATTACCAGTCTGTAGTCGGCTCGGTTATCGGAGATCTAAAAAGAGTTTTCAGGGGGGCGGGGGAGACCTATTTTTCCGGTAGTTATATAAGGCAATCCGTAGGTCTGAAAAGCCAAGCTCATTCCCAAGTCATGGCCGGCTCTACAGGTTTGTTTATTATGATTGCCGTAATTAAACTGTTTTTCTTACCCCGAAAACTCGTTTTTTTTATAGCTTAGCGCCCTTTAAACCTTCCGCCTAAGGCCAAACATTAAATTCAGCTCCACCTACCGTACCCCGCAATTTCCAGGCCTAATCGCCGTCGGGACGAGCGTGTGTGCTGTGGCGACACTTGCATGCCTGTTGGCTGTTTGTCTAATCGTCCAGGACATCTCCTCATTCCATGCCCGGATTCACAACGAACTCGACTCGTTCAAGGTAACACTAAACTACGGATTACAATTATGATCTGGATTTAGACTCACTCGGACGAGGCATGGAACGAGATGCAATCCGTGACGCGTGCCTCGGCGTTTGCCCAAACGATGGCCAGATTCACGCGTCAGGCGTATGATGCTGGTGGTGCCTCCGGTGGTGCTGGAGGATCTGACCGCAGTTAGTTTTTAAAGGCGCGTTGAAGCCTAGGCTACGGACTCTTTCGGGGTTTTTTTTGCAGCGTTTTTTTCTAGGCGCATCGACATTCGATGCGCCTAGAAGAACAGAAAACCAACTTCATTCAGGAATTTTCCAAAAATTTCAAAAAGTCCTAGTTTAATGTCTTTTTCTAAGTCATTTTTTTGGCATTCTTGAACGTAAGAACTTTACATGGAAAAGGCTTTACTTGAAAATCTACTAAAAATCTCGATTTTCCGACCCAAATTGGCCCTTTTCCGTCTTCGATTTTAAATTTTACAATTCTCACCAAGTTTTTGAACTACTTCTTCAGAATACCCCCCACCCCCCGCTAGTGCACAAGAACCTTTCAGACTGTGGCGAGGCCCCGTCGGGATGCCCAGCCGGTCCACCTGGACCACCCGGGGAGCCGGGTCTGGATGGAATGCCCGGAATGCCCGGTGGAGACGGAAAACCCGGAATGTCCGGAAATTCGATGATCAACGATGTGTATCCACAACTGAAGGATTGTATCAAATGTCCGGCTGGGGAACCCGGGCCTCCTGGTCCTTCAGGACCACCTGGGCCCGCCGGAAACCCCGGAGCCGATGGACCGCCTGGACCTGCCGGAAATGCCGGAAGCCCCGGGCAAGCGGTGAGTCGTTTTTAGCGCTTTAATCAAGTACATTTTGCCGAAAATAAGAATGTCGAAACGTTGTAGTTAACGATCCTTTCGACATGGTAAAATTTCGTCATTCTACCTGTCGACAAATTGACATTACGTCAGCAAAAAAGCATAAAAAAACAAAAAAATATTCAGGGTCCGGCCGGGGAAGATGGACATCCGGGAATGCCCGGAATGCCTGGACCCGATGGAATGCCCGGAAAGCCGGGAATGAAGGTAACTTTTTCCCAAGGAATCTCCGCTAGCCTGCCTATTTTATTGTTTTAGTTTTAAGTAAATTTTCAAAAAAAGGCATTTTAGTGTGAAAAATTTTCAAAATACACGGTCCAGAGCGAATTCCATTACGTTACGCTACTCCGTACACATTTATTCTCATCTCCCTTTGAATTTTCCGCGATTTAAATGCTTTTAAATTCGATTTACAGTTCCAGCCCGGTGAACCTGGCCCAGCCGGGCCACAAGGGCCAATGGGCGAGATGGGAGCCCCGGGTATGGATGGCCACGATCCGGGCCCTGGGCCCCAAGGACCCGCTGGGTCTATGGGTGGCCCGGGAAGGGACGGAACCCCGGGAACAGCTGGGCCACCCGGAGAACCCGGTGGAGATGGACAGCCTGGACCCGATGCCGCATATTGCCCATGCCCCCCAAGGTAGCTTTCGAAAAAACAAATTTTGAACGGATGAGTACACTTTCGTACCATTTACGTGATTTTCAGAACGGGTGGGATGGCGGAAAGTGGTCCGGCCCCTTCCGGAGCGAATGGCGGGGGCGGAGAGACCGGAAATGCCGGATACGCGCAAAACCCCGCGAAGGGCGGCGCCCAATCCTATTTGCTGCTATAGATATATTTCAATCGTTAAATATATCATTTATATTATAGCTGTGTAACGCAGAAATAGCAAGTATTTATTGTGGATACAACATGCAGAGGAAGGTTGTTTAGAATGGCCAGCAGTCCCCGGGGCAACCCTGGATGATCGTCTCGAAACGACCGGTTTTCACCTGAAAATTGTGTTTTAGCAGCGTTTTCGTCGTCTAATGATTACCATAAGTGTTTCTACACTGTTTTTTTACGTTAACATGCAAGTTTCAGTTAAAAGATACAAAAATATCAATTTTTGACAAAAATCCCTGCTTTTTAAAGGCCGACCCCCTGAAATGCCGTTAAATTATGCTAAATCCATTATTAAAATATTTGCTATTACGCTACTAGCATTTCTGGGCATATACAAACCCCCCGCACCCCCGATAATGCCAAAGAACCTTGTTTGGTTATCTTTATTGTATTTGCTGGTAAACTTACGTGCATGAGGACGGTGTAGGTGGTGAGCTTGTTGAGGTTGGTCTTCGACGAGAGCACGTTGTACATACCCTAGAATTTAATTAATGTTATTTACTATGTTTTTATCTTTTAAAACTCTTTATTCCATTATTAATTTTCTAATGCTAGTTATTCGCTATGTCCCATTTTATTCATCTACCTGGAATCCCATGTCCTTTTGGCCGAGCTTGCGCATGCAGCGATCTCCGGGTGTCTGGCGGTCATCGAGGTACAGCGGCTAAAACAATAGATTACGCCATGTTATTCAAAATTCATTACATCAACGTCGGGATCGTAGTTGGTCTGGAGGAGATACCAGCCATTTGGCGAGTGCGGGTCCAGCTCCGTCAGCAGATCCGTGCCGTTCAGGGCACTAAACGAATTCTTGTAATACCAAAATACCGACAGCCAAAATCCTGAAGGAGCAAATCCCGACAGGCCATAACCCCGAAAGTCCAAAATCCCGACATCCAGACCCCAAATCTCCATAACTCAAAATACCGACAGCTGAAATCCGGCAGCGCCAATTCCGACACCAATGCCGACAGCCGAAATAACACAGGCCAAAATCCCGACACCCAAAACGCCGACGGCCCAAAACACCGACAGCCATAATACCGACAGGTCAAAATAGCCGCTTAAATTTTTGTTCCAGCCTGCTAAAAATCACCCCCCCCCCGCTAAGAGTCCAGCCCCGTTAGAAATCCAACTTTTTGAAAATTACCGGGTAATAATAGCTCCCTCCCACGGGTTGACACCACCCAAGATGTAGTAGACGGGCGACAACATCGGCACGTTCATCAGTCGGTCTTTCGCCTCGGCGTAGGCTAAATAAAAATATAGAAAATTTATTAAAACTGCGAACTGTTAGCATTCTCCATGGTCTCGCGGGCGAGGGTGGTCATCCACTTTCCGTTCGGCTCCTCGTCTAGCAGCCACTTGATAATGCCGACAAGGCCTAGAATCGGTAGAATATAATGATTATCAAGTTAATCTAGGCCGAAATTACAAAAAAATTACCTCCATCAGCCATAAAGCGCTCGTTGGCGGTGAGCGAGAATTTGCCCGGCTTCAGCGCGTTGTAGATGCCAATGTAGCCGGCAAAGTGGTTGGATTTGTAGAGGACTTTGCCTGAACAATGGGTTATAACATGTTCTGCCATATTAATAAGTATGATAATCACGTTAAAAGGATAATTCGTACTAATACATATAACGTAACGCACCGTCCTTGATCCAGTTGACGTTGAGGATCATTTTGCGCAAATGCTGCGAGATTTCCCACTCGTGTTTCGTGTAGTTCCAGCCGAGGAAAAGGCCAAAGTCGAGGTTCCTGGAACATTAATATTGATCGGTACTGGTCTGCTAGCGGGGGGGGGCTAAACTTTATTGTTTCGCCTACTCCCTATACTGTTAATCATAGATAAAGCATTTTTATTGTGTTCTCAGTAGTTTTTAGCGATTTAAAATCCTAAAATTTCTTAAAAAATTTTTATAATTTGAAAATTTTGATCTTTTTTGTGTCATTTTTCATAGATTTTTGACCAAAAAATCGAAAAAGTTCGTAATTTTTTAAAAGTTTTACGTTTACGTGCTTTTGATCTTGAAAGATGTAACGAAAGACGCGCAAAAACCCCCAAAAATGCCCAAAACCGACCTCGAGTGGTACATATCGTTCGACGCATCCTGGCCGACGATTGACGTACAAACGGTGAAAATCTCGTAGAAGATGTTGTACAGCACCACTTGACCGATTGGAATGTCGGCCGTTTGAGAGATTGACTAAAAAGGGTATATAGAAAAGAATTTACAACGCTTAGAAGAAAACGAAAAAAGACTAGCTGACAATGAGCTCTTCACGATATGGCGACTGGAACTTCTCGATCGTCTCGGCAAAGACACCATCCACAAAGTCGAGTGCACCCGGGAAAATCGGTGTGATGAAGTCTGGAAGGTAGTGAAGGCTTTGAAAAATAGCACCTACCGACGAGTACTTGGATGAGGCCGTGGATGTCCTGCTTGTAGCGCTTGGCAATTTGCACCCAGCGCTGCGACGGGTCGGCGTCGAGGTCGATGTTGAACCTGGAATGTGTTTCATTTCGTATTTTAAAAGAGAGCTCTTGCTCAGAATTTATCGCCCTATCAAATGAGCTCGAGGAAAAGCTGGAGCAATCTATGCTCACAGTTTTAATGGCTTAAAGAGGAGCTGGAGCTTCATTTTCAAGACGATATACAACGCTGAAAGCGCACGCTCAGTTAGTTGGACGCATATTCCTATCTACATCTGCATCGCTATCTCTCTCTCTCTCTCTCTCTCTCTCTCTCTCTCTCTCTCTTTGTCTCAATCTCTCTGCGTAAATAGGAATGTACGTCCAACGTCCCTTAAAAAAAGTTATAAAAGTTAAAAAGTAATAAACAAGCCCAAAAATCAACGAAAAAAGCCTCACCACGGCACATCAAACTGATCGCCCGGATCGTAGCGATTGGTGCCATTGTCGAGGATACAGAAATCAGTGTAGGGCGCGGGCAGCTCGACGTGCTTCGAGAGGCCGGCCACCGCCAATGCGGCCAGCAACACGTAGGTGCGCATACCTAAAGGTAGTACTACTGCAACAAAACGCCAATATCACAACCCAAATACATGAGAAATCCCGAGATAGAGCCACCTAAAAAGTTCTCTAGCCTTTTTCCAAAGCCGGTACTTCTGCCTTATCGGGGGGACAAACTTCTTTCCTACTTCCAAACTTGTTTTTGCTATTTACAAACGTAAGAACTTTACAAATTTTTATTACAAAACACAAAAAATATAATTTTCGACAAAAAAACGTCGATTTGCACAAAATTTGGCGAAAAATTGTTCCTGTTTTTCCGGTTTTACACAAGAAATATAATTATAGTCCACTAAAAACACTATTCAAAGACTTAATACTAAATTACTGGGGACTTCTGTACTTATAGGAGGCAAAGGGTGGGCAAAATATATCGCAGCGTAGGGTAGGCAAAAGTTAGATCCCCCGCTAACAGAGCAATACCATCATAAAACGCGTGAGCACCGCACCAAAAACCACCCCAAAAATTATTTAACTCGAAAAATTTGGGGGCAATTGTTGTGCTGAAAGCGGATATGTGCGAAATCGAGGGGATGACGGCGGACGCGGCGAGGACCCGGCAAGGTGATAAGCAGCCATCTGGACAACTCCCACCGGGCTCAACAGGGCCAATCGGGTGGAGAAATTGAAGAAGGAGAAGCAGGACAAGGACCAGAAAGAGAAGAAGAACATAGAAGAAGGTTCGTCGGCCACACTACGCCATGGCCATGTGCTGCTGTGTCGAAGTGTGGTCGCAATGTGTTCTCCGGCGGTGGGGAAACTGCAAAGATGGATGCATCAGGAAAACAAGGAAGGGGGAAGGGCCCTAGACGTTTATATGGGCCCGCCGAGATTTTAGGCTGGCTAAATCGTAAGCCAATCCACATGCGATATGTCATTTTCTCCGTTTGAAAAGAAGAACGGCGAGAGGAGGTTTTTCAAAATTAAAGGCAGACATATCGCATGTTCAGATTGGGGTTATTAAAGTTTTAGCCTACTTTCAAATATTCGGGGCGAAGGGCTTATAAATAACTAGAAGTGTTGCCTACCGAACGCGCGACTTTTAAAGGTATGGAAAGGATAAGGTGGAGGTATGCGCCAACGACTACAAACAGCTCCTTTGCACCCTTGTACTCGATGCACTCGATGTAGTTTCCCCTCCCGCTCAAAGAAAAAGATTGAAAGCTCCGGAATAAAATAAATGACGGCGACTCCGCGGGGATCTTCTGTAGAGTCGTACTTTGTACATACGCTGCGGATTCTCTGCTTCTTTCGGAAAATTATAGCCGAGGTTCGTTCGTGTTGCCGGTTTCCTCTAGTGATTTTTTTGGTGACACTCAACGCGTACGTTCGCCTTCATACGTCCCGCCTGCTCTGTTTCAAGGTAAATCGCTACAATGCGTATAGTACGGGGTGTGTAAAGGAGTTTTGCGTAGCCGGTTTTGGAAAACATGGCGTTCCAACTTACACTTTTCCCTAGTGCGCTCTCGCTTTGATTACTACGATTTTCATTATTTTTTGCGTTCCGTCTCGTTTCATTTCGTGTCTGCGCTCTCTAAATACCGCCAAATCTCTCGTTAACGTCTTTACAATGTTTCTCAATATTTATAGCATTAAAATCATCAAAAACATCAAATGTAAACAATGGCAAAGACCCGCGGGGACAATATTCAATGGTTGGAGTAAAAACACGGAAATAATAAAAGAGTGAGATCGTTCTGAGTAGTGCACCGTACTATTCAAGGGGGCTACCGGCATGGCGTTAAAGTTAGTGAGGGGGTTATTTGTGCATTAATGGTTAAAAAAAAAAAAAAAAAAAAAAAAAAAAAAAAAAAAAAAAAAAAAAAAAAAAAAAAAAAAAAAAAAAAAAAAAAAAAAAAAAAAAAAAAAAAAAAAAAAAAAAAAAAAAAAATTTTTTTTTTTATGAAAACTTATTCAGTGGAATCCGGGATGGCGTTCGCGTTGATGTCGACCATATCCACCTGGAAAAGATGTTAGATATCGATTTAAAGGGACGTGAAAGCACGTAGAGGTATATGAATTAGCTTAAATAAAATTCACTGTGTTAATAATTCTTTTAAAAAATTACCCGAATTAAGGGAAGCGCATTAATGCGAGCGCATGGCTGTCGGTCCGAGTTGGAGCAGCGTTGGGCGAAACGTTTTGGAGACGGGCAGGGCGGCTGAAATATATTGGTGGATGAGAGTGAGAGAGAGAGTGACTAAGAGAGAGAGGGAGAGAGAGACCCAGAGGCAAACACCAACCTTCCGACGACAAACGGAGAGCAGGGAATGGCGGAAGCTTTTGTTCATAAAGCAATATGTGATCGGGTTTGTGCATGAAGATACGTATGTCAACGCGGTCAGTACGCTGTTCAAGGTGTTGTTGAACACTTCGGCATCCTGAAACGCGCTCCGATTACCGTAAACTGGCATTGCGTGCCGAAAAACCCTTGGCAAACACTAATTTTCGGTTCACCACATCGCCTGCTACCTCTCCCCAACGGGAGAAAAGAACATTCCCCACCGCGACTCCTCTGCGATCATGGCTAATTGGCTAAGTGCTCACCCGGAAAGGACACGATCCAGGTTCGACCCCCTCCCGAAACCAATTTTTTTTCAAAAATTGCGAATTTACGTATCAGAACTCACAAAAAGATCGCAGAAGCGCACAACCAGCCAAAAGATGTAGTTCGGGGTCCAGCACAGCGCGAACAGGAGCACGATCGTCATCAGCATGCGCGTCACGCGGCGCTTTGATGTTAGAATCTTTTCCTGGAAATAATGTCATTATAAGAATACCGCCAGGGGCCTCTGCTAGCCTGCTCCACTGCTCGCGTACCTGATTCGTGGATCTGAGCACGATTAGGCTGGAATCGAGGCTGCTTCTTGGTGTCAGAATTCCAAAGAGAGATCTGAAAATGGGAAATTGGCATAAACAACACGTTAGTGCTCAAAAAAGCAACCAAAAATGGGGGGGACATGGCGCCGGGGGTTTTGGTGTTTAAAGGGGCTGGGAAGGCAGGAATACATTTTTAGACATGGATTCCGGCAAGGCCGCGATGCGTACTGCGCCGTAGTTCCATTGCGTAATCGATTGGGACGCCTCCTTATAGGCGTAGCCTTTTTCCCTTTTGCGCGTCACGACACGAAACGCGCACGCTGCCGCCGTTACGCCGAAATCGCGGACGTCGCGCGTTGCGTTTCGCAGCTGCGCCAAAATCTATAGCGAATCCATAGCCAAAATCCTTGGGTGCCTTCCCTGTCTCTTTAAAAGGTGATGTTAGCATAGGGGGAATCGAATCGTTTAGTCATTAGTGCAATGGCTCGCCCAAAAATGGTGTATATTTTCGCGAATACCCACATGTTACGGAAGCTCTCCCAGATGCTGAAATTGTTATAATTGAGGCTTATTAAAATTAGTAGCAAAACGATTAAATTGTCGTTGAAAGGTCGCAAAAGAAGGGACTACGGTTTCAGGAAAGAGTCGGAGACTGTTTTTAGGGGTGGAGTAAAGCGTAAATTTTAACAACAAGCTGAAGCAGGATTAAATTTTTTGAAAGGATTTAAATACAAAAATGGAAAAGTTAATTTACCTTCTGCCAAAACTCCCGCGTAAAAAGGAGTTTCTCCGGCCGCTGATTTCGTTGGCTGTGTTGCCGGGCAGGGAGAGGGTTTCCATTTCCTGTAATGGGGGTTTTAAGTTTAGCCAGCTTGTCTCTCTTTCTCTCTCTCCATATCTCTAAAGTGTGCGTCCCCAATATTTGTTGATATTCCGTATATTTCCTAGGGACACGTGCCCGTCTATAGTATAGACGAGTAAATATTTGAGTTACGAGGAACGGGCAGATTTTCATCATCATTTGACAATATCCCGAGGGCTTTCGGGTCATGGGGTCGTTATTTTAGTAGCATTTTTTATGAGAGAGAGGGACGGAAAGGGAGAGGCAGACAGACAGAGTGAGAGAGTCATAGAGAGCGGAAGCGAGAGAGAACGAGAGATAGACACATACCTTAGCATTAATATTCTTCTTCTTTTTGGACAATTTGACAGCCTTGCAGATCCATTCGACAATGGTTCCCGGTTGACTCTCGAGGGAATCGCCTGCAACAAGTTCGACTCTCTACTTTTCGCTCCTAATTGCACGCACAGGATTGGGTCACGTTTTAGGAAGCTAGAGCTACATTCTAGCACGAGAGAGTGGGAGAGAAAGAGAGCGCAAGGGCGAGAGAGAGAGAGTAGCACATGAACATAATTTTATTAAAATACTTACTTGATCGTGAGGTATGAGCGGCAAGAATTGTAGAGAGATCTGGATCTGGAGCATCCCCGTCGAGGGCACCATTTAGGGTACAGATGACGTTGCCGTAGAGGGCAACCATTAGACCCAGGGGGATGAAGAGAAGGGCCTAAATAAGCGGAATTACTCTAACGTTTTTTAGAAGAGTGGCGACAGACAACGTAGCATAAAATGTCGAAGAGAACAACAGGGAAAAACTGATGAACAGAAACCATAGAAAGTATCAAAAACCACGCAATGAATCAGTCAGTACCAATCAGCGGTTTTCGGTATTTTTCACGCTAGGCTTTTTCGATATTTTCGATCTTATCGATATTTTCCAATTTCGGAACAGAAATAAACCCACTAGCGTCAAATAGAGCTGATAAAAGAACATGATGGTTGTGCTTCGAACCGGGTTGCACGTCCAGACATCTCTGAAAATTAAGCGTAAACAGGCGTAGCTCGTACTCACTTCTCGATTTGATGGGAATCGAAGATGAAGAAAGAGACGGCGTTGCACAATAGGGACCACAGCCAGACAACGGCTAATAGACCGAGGGCACGCTTCTGGAAATATTTAGACGAGGTCGTAGGGCGAGAGAAAGAGCGAGAGAGAGAGCAAGTGAGAGCGAAAGCGACAAACCTTTGTATGCCATTTTCTGAGGTGTAGTGGTCTACAAATAGCATAATAGCGCTCGATAGCAATGACCGTCAGCGTGTAGGCCGATGCACAAACCGACACAGCTAAAAAAGGCGATTAAAATTATAGAGTAGCTAGGAAGCTGCGTGCGGTCGCGCCGCGTGTCGCTAGCTACTAATAATAAAACCGAAACACGCGACGCAGCCGCACGCGTTTTTTAAGCCGGGAAAACTCTCTATCTTGCCTTTCAAGTCCCTTTAAACACAACTTACGCTGCAAAAACGCTACAGTATGACACAACGTCTTCCCTAGCGTCCAGCAGTGCGTAATCTCGGTGAGAAGGGTGGGTGGAATGCAGGCTAATGACCTGAAAACGAGTTGAAAATGGCCTTTCAAGCAAGTCCACAATTTCACGGTTGGCTAATTGGCAGTGTGCTAGCCTGCCACTTCCAGGGTCCGGGTTCGAATCCCACCCGGCACGAAACTTTTTGCTGTTTGGTCCAAGTTACGAAACGTGCGGAAAATCCAAAATCGAGCGCAAACTACAAAATAAAACCCCGAAATCTTACCGCAACAAATCGGCCACGGCCAAATTGAGTAGATAGAGATTGGTGACGGACCGCGCGGCTTTTCGGCGTCGATAGAGAATTGTGAGGATGACTACGGTATTGCCGAGGAGTGACAGAACGAATACGGTAGAAAAGACGAGGGATAGACCGATGTTGTACGCTGAGAAATTGGGACGGCATGATGGGTATTCGGATGAGGATACGGGCAGCAATTCGGATTCTTCCATCTGGAAAAAATTGGTTAGAAAAATTAAGTTTCCTCGCGTAATCGAGAGCAGAATGCGTAGCAGAGAAAATTGGGGATAGTGGGAGCGAGAGTTGAGAGAGATAGACAGAGAGAGAGAGAGAGAGAGAGAGAGAGAGAACGAGAGAACGAGAGAGAGAGAGGGCCAGAGAAAAGAGTGAATAAGACAAACCAATAACAACGATTAAAACCGCGACAATAACGAATGCTAATTACCCCAAAAACAATTCGTCTAGAAGCTACCCTCCCGGCTATAATAAATGATGACGAGATCCCCTCCCTCACCCTCCAAAAACACATCTCAAGTATCGAGTGAAGAGGGTGATATTTTCCTCGTTATTTCTACCCGCCGCCCCAACTTCACTTATATATTGGAGGGGAGCAAAGGGGGATAGATGGGATGTTTGTGGGGGCGTTCCGAGAAGTAATTCGGACTCGAGACGATGGGTTGAGAAGAGGGAAAAGGGACCTATCGAGCAATTTCGGAAGGAAGGAGGGGGACTTCTGCTATGTGTTGGGGGTAGAAAGGCATTAAGCTATCTCTCTCTCACTCTTTCTCTTTCACTCGCCTCAAACATATTCACCAATTAACACCGGAAATAAGGGAACTGGCGGTGAGAACAAGGAAATTTTGGTGGGAACGACTACGCTAGGCGCCTGCAAACGACGCAGGAAATTAGGTAGGCTAGCAGAGATCATTTGGGAAACTAGACGATAACTAAATTTGACCGTCAATTAAGTGCAGGGCAAGCTAGCAAAGATTATTGAGGAAATTAAACACGGGATAAAACCAGCAGAGATCATTTAGGAGAGCTCGACAATAACCGAGTCTTAGCGCTAATCAAGAGCCGGGCCAGCTGTAGGGAAATAGTTCGAACTTAATTTAGGGCCATCCAGCAGAGATTTTTGGGATCTTAAACTGGGAAATTTCAAGGGCAAGCCAGCAGTCCTCATTTAGGAACCGTAGAAAAATCAACGAGCAAAATGACGCGAGGTTAGTCACACCCACTTCCGGGTCTATAAATTGAGGTCGTGGTGAGGGGCAACGGGTGTGGGAGAGAGAGCAACATAGAGAGAGCGAGAGAGAGAGAGAGAGAGAGAGACCAAGCGAGCGATCGAGCGAGATCTCTCTAAAGGCAGTAGGACACGCCCCATGGGAACTGCCCCGGGTGGCTTCTGCCTCTCGAATAGAACACAGCCGGGGTGAAATTCTTGCTGAAAAATGTGTCGGGGCGTCTCGAGAACAAATCCTTTCCCTTTTCAATGAATTGCCCTCCTTTCCTTGGTGGTCCCAAGGGGATCCAGAAGCTGGTCCTCGAGAGCTGCCACCACCGCCAAATTTCTGGCCTCACCCAACTTTCCAAAACCGCAGAAATTCACTAGAGGCGAAAATAGGGCCCATCGGTAGTCGGTAAAAGAATTCAAAATTAAATTCGGCGGATTCGGCGATTTTCCGTGAGGTACGGTGGTTAGTATCATGGTCTGCCAATCTCGCTACCCAGGTTCGACTCCAAGCCGCGGCAGAAATTTCTTGTTTTTGCTTATCCAGACGGTTAATGATAGAAAATTACTAAGCAAAACCTGATTCTCCAGATCAAGCGCCTGAACCCCAAGTAAAATTCTTTGATGGCGTGTGCTGACGATCGAAACAAAAAAGCGACAAGTTATTCGCGGGTTTGCACAGCCACTTTTGAACGGAAATGGGGAGTCTCGGGTGGGTGGACGGAAAATACGCTGTTTGGCCCATGGGAGAAGCGGATATCCGTTCTTGAATATCTGGAGGGATAGGGGGAGAGGGAGAGGCAGAGGGAGAGAGATTGAGCTAGACAGAAAGAGTGAAGTAGAGAGAGAGAGAGAGAGAGAGAGAGAGAAAGAGAGAGAGAGAGAGAGAGAGAGAGAGAGAGAGAGAGAAAGCGAGAAAGTGAGTAAGAGTTGAAGAGAGAACGAATTTTGCCTCAAAAAGGTGTCAAAAGGATACAAGTGAGAAAATCAGTAGAGGGCAAATAATGGAATTGGGGCGGTAGAGTAATGAAGGTCATTGGATAGTAGAGGAGTGGAGAGGACAGAAAGTTCTGCCTAACCGATTTTATAAAACCTGTTAGAAAAGAATTTAAAAATGTATTTCTAAAAAGACTAAACGATAAGATGCAACAATCAAATTTTGAAAAATCTTATTAAAATCATGAAGGAATTTAAACAAGCTGTAAAAATATTTACACTCGCGCAGTATTTTGATTTCTGAATTTAAGGGCATTTTCTAGTTAAATTCAAACAATCTTTAAAAAATCTAAAATTACAATTTTTTTGCAAAATATAGTTAGGAAATTAAATTTAAAATCAAAAATGATAAGAAAAATCAAATTAATTTCCTTTATTTCTCTCACTATCCGCGCAATCTTCCTCCACAGCGCCTAGAATAGCTATTCCCGGAGTCGTGCTCCTATTTTTGGTCCTTTTTTTGGGTGCGTCCATAGCAGCCTGATGGAGTCTTGAGAGAGAGAGAGAGAGAGAGAGAGAGAGAGAGCGTGATAGAGAAACAGAGGATATAGACGAGTAGAGGCTAATTGTTTTTGAACGTCTCTTAGGGGTCTTACTCGGGGCCCTAACTAGGGAATGTTTTCGGGCGGACATCGGACCCAGATATGTGAGTATGTGCATCTTGTAGAGCTCGACGAGACGAATCGATTGATGTAACTTTTAGCTGCTGATACGTTATTTTAACAAAGTTACAACGGTTTAAACTTTTTGGCGTTACCTTCATAGGCCCTCCCCACGTCCCAACCATCGTGTCCTGGTAGCCTAGTGGCTTAGTAGACGGCGTTTGGAGATAGTAACGAGGGTACGGATCCGCCCACGATTTTTATTTTTTGCTTTTTGGCCGAAAGCTTCCTTTTTGCACCCCAAAGGTCTACATTAACTTTTTTAAAGTTTTTTTTTGTATTTCCAGGACTTCTACCAAAATTGGTGTCGGTATTTAGTGGGTTTTTATTTGCAAGCACAGCCAGTGTTGATGACTTCAGCTCTAAAAATCTCTGTGTTCCCTTTATGCTTTTTTTATTGGGAATATGTATCTAGAGTAGGTCCTAGAAATCAAAAAACTTTAAAAAAGTTAATGTAGACCTTTGGGGTGCAAAAAGGAAGCTTTCGGCCAAAAAGCAAAAAATAAAAATCGTGAGCGGATCCGTACCCTCGTTACTATCTCCAAACGCCGTCTACTAAGCCACTAGGCCACCAGGACACGGTGGTCAGGGTGTGGGGAGAGCCTATGAAGGTATGGCCAAAAACTTTAAACCGTTGTAACTTCGTTAAAATAAGGTATCAGCAGCTAAAAGTTACATCAATCGATTTGTCTCGTCGAGCTCTACAAGATGCACATACTCACATATCTGGGTCCGATGTCCGCCCGAAAACATTCCCTAGTAAGGTGGAAGATCAAGGCCACACGGGCCCCCATATCGTAGTCAGGCTGGCTGGCTAATTGCCATAGAATTGCGACGACATCCTGCGCGGGTCGCCAACTTCCGGAAATTTGAGGCTGCAAGGGTTGATGTGCACTATATGTTGCCCCGGGCGTTTTTAGGTTACTAACATCCATTTTGAAAAGGACGCCCTCAAGCGAAAGCTCATTAAAGGGGCTCCGAAATCTGGTCCACGGCCCCCTGCTGTGATTCCTGGCAAATAGCCAGATGTGACCGCACCGCGACCGCGACGCATGAACGCCTGTCCCTGTTTGGAGGCGTAAACGCTTGAAATTAAAAATTCTGATGCGATTTTTGGAATCCTCAACGAATTTGGATCATTCCAGACTTTTAAATTATGAAAATTGATCAGTGAATCGCCGAGATCGATAGATTGGGTGTCTTACGAGGCATTACGACATGTAATCGCCGCGCGCTCAAAAGGTCGTTTTCGCCCCAAAAGAATGCAGTTTTTCTCAAAGATTTGACGAGTTTTCGCAATCAAATCCCTTTTCTGGCACTCCCCGGCAGCGACCCTTTCGTTGTTTGACCACTAGGTTCAATTCCCGCGCGAGGGGGTCGAACCAGGGTCGTGTGAGTGGCATGCGCGCACTCAACCATTTAGCTATGGGACGGCTCACGGCTCGTCAAAGGGCACTTTAGTACGGGGCGCGCCTATTGCCCTCAGGGCTCTGTGGGGCGGGGATGCCCATATTAAAAACTCAGAAAATCTACGTTTTCTTCTAATAACTTTTTTTATACTATTTCGAATCTTCGGGAGGCGTGAGAACTGGGTAGAGAAAAAAATTCTCCATCGAACTGTTTGGGTCTCGACGAGAGTTCTCACCAAAATAAGGAGATTTTGAAGCCTACAGTTCGCGATATTTTCGACCCAGCTGGCTTCTGGCTGGTTTTTCGGCCTGTTGTTATCAAAATACGATCAAATCTCGCTAAAAGGTTGGGTGGAGTCACGATACATGCTTTTGATTTAATGACGAAAGTTCTGGAAAAGATGAACCCTTGTCCGATGGCGATCGTAATGTTTCGATGCTGAAACCTCAGCCGGAGGGATTTGAGCCTTGTATGGCGGTTTTCTAGGTAACTATATAAATTTCTTGTAGTATTAATCGAAAAACTGCTGAGTTATGAGCCTCCTATTAAGAAAATAGCTAAGATAGTCGGACACTTGGACGCTTGGAGCAGGAGCTTCCTGTTCTGTAGCCCAATTTTGCTAAATAAACGCATGAGAGCGTACTTATTATCGTTACTAAGCCAAAAAAATTGTAATAGCAACCCTGGAAGCTGATTATGGAGCGAAATTGCGACTGTTTTTGGATCCACTTTGTTAAAACGCGTTCTGGCAGCTTTTTGCTATTTTCTGGGGCTTTTTCGCGAATTTTATTTGATTTTATGCTAAAGTAAAGTTCTGTGATACTTTCGGAGCAAAAAGCAAAATAATTTTCATCAAAATGGGTGGTCTGCACCGGAGAGGATCCGAACCCGGGGGTGTGGGGGCGCGCGCCTG